TAAAGAAGCAGGTTTTATAGTGGATGGCTCTACGAGAACAGCGACATTGTGCTTTTGCGGCAGAATTTTCTAGCAGTCCCTTCCAATTAGCAGTGTCTCCTTTCTGAGTGCAACCCACATCTACTCGAGCTTTGACTCTCTGAAACGCTTCGCAAAGCATGACCGAACTTCTTCATCTTCGTGACATACTCGGCCTGGGCCGGGATTCAACCCTCATTTTTGTTCATCTGGTCCAAGGTGCCAACTCCGCTACTCTCAGCCCGGTTTGGGCAGTTTGTGAAGCGGGATGGTTGTATGATAGGTCTAGAACTACTGGATGGTAGGATCTGGAAATATCTCGGTGCATTGAGAGAAGAGACTGAGAACAAAGGTCACGTGGCATCTCAACTCGGTAGAGAGGTAGGCCGGAGTCTTTTGGTAATGTCTGTCAACCTATACACATATATCAAGCCAAGCCTTGAGTAGGATACTATGGCGTCATAACGACAAAGTTTAACGATTGCTACGTTATTCCACTTCGAACTTCACCATTGTCTCTAACGTTGCAGTTGCATCCCATTGAACCGAGTATCCGAGGTCCGATTCCACGTTAAGCGTCTTGATATCAAGAGTTTTCACAATCTAAATAGCAAAATTGATATCCAGGAACCAAAACGATCAAGGGGTTAATTTTTAATTATCTCTCTTCTTATTCCGAATGGGGGACGAAGAATGAGAGTGATAGGCAACATTCCGTTTTCGGGTTGCCCGAACGGCTACGTCTAGACTCTCTTACTTCTCTGTTCAGGACCCCGAAGCCCTGAAAAGATGGCACAGTCCGCCACATTATCCACATGACCTCCGATTTGGTCATGACAGGATATCCCGGTGATTTGGAACTCACCACCGAGCGCATCACGTCCAAAATAATCTTAGTATGCCAAGATCTATTTCGCTCGACGTTGCAACCATGTGAGACACAAATGTCTCCAACGCTTGCCATGTCAACGTGAGGCGAAAATAAACTTGCGGGACCTGCAGCGGTCAATGACGGCATGTATCTATGGCTGATCTAGAAATTAATACAACGCCAATGATGCACGTTCAGAACTTACTTTTCTTTCCACGCGACCACGGAATCTTTAATAACATTATTCCATCCAAGCAATTGTATTCTCACCCTTTCCCGGTTTTAAAAGTCCTTGGAGGGTTGAAGAAATCTAGGTTCGATTCTGGTTGACGGTCTCCGTACCTAGTGGACCTGCAGCTTTAGCTCCCCTTGCCTCTCTGGATGGCACAATGGGCGTCGAACTCAAAGGAAATGGCCCGGGGGAGCCGCCTATGAACCCGGCGATTGCGGTCCCCCTGTTCGTTGTCGCCGGGCTGATAACAATTTTATTTGTCTGGAAAACCGTCATTCGCATCCGACATCGTCGGCGATCAAAGGCGGCACGGCAAGGAACCGACCAGACGCAGCTGTCCCGGACAAATCGCTTCAATGCGGCCTTGAAAAAGCATTTGCTATATGCTCCAATATGGGGCAATCGCCACAGCCGTGAGTTCCGCGTGTTTAGGCTTCATATGGGGTCTCTACCGCTACGGCTGGAAGTGATTTGCCTGTTGATCTATCTCAGCTTGAACATCATCTTCATTATTGTGACGGTCGATTGGTGGGTCAGTGACTATACCGAGAAGATGTTCCAGCTCAAATTCTCTGCAGGCCATCTGGCAGTCATGAATACGCCCGGCTTGGTCCTAGGCGCAGGGCGGAACAATCCGTTGGTCCAGCTATTGGGTATCTCCTTCGATACGTTCAATTTCATGCATCGTTGGGTGGGACGTGTAATTACAGCTAATGCGGTCATTCACATGAGCGCCGTGCTCGCTAGCAAGGCTTATGTTTGTGAGTGGCCTTGGGCATATATGCTGCAATCATGCACTAACATCGGGCTATCACACTTAGATGGTACAGACTATATTCTGTATGCTATGTGGCAACAAAAGCTTTATCTATGTGGCCTTCTGGTATGTGATGCAGTCCAAAGGCACTTCAGATGGCCATCTAACATATATATCCGTAGGCCATCCTTGGATTCCTTTTCATTTTTATTCAATCTCTGTCGCCGGCCCGACATGCATTTTACGAACTATTCCTTCACCTGCACATAGCCCTAGCCATATTCTCCTTCGTGGCGCTTTGGTATCACCTACAAAATCTATTGCAACAGCGTGTGCTTCTTGGCACTTTGATCCTGTGGGGTCTCGATCGTGCAGGTCGACTTGGAATATTACTTTGGAGAAACCTTAGTTCAAGACCTACAACTGCCACAGTCGAGATTCTGCCTGGATCTGTTGCTCGCGTTGACGTGGCCGTGGCTCGGGCATGGCGCTTTCATCCTGGCCAGTATATGTACCTCTACATGCCGTGTCTGGGCTTGTGGACATCACATCCCTTCACGGTTGCGTGGTCGTCGACATCGGATTCGTTGAATATGAACGAAAAGCGCGGCTCGGGTGACTCTTTGAAGGCGCTCATTGGCGACTCGCCGACTACAACTATGTCCGTCTTGATCAAGGGCCAAGACGGATTCACGAAAAGGTTACTTCAGAAGGCAGAAGACTCGCCTGAGGGACGCATTCAGGCGATGGCGTTGGCAGAGGGGCCATTTGGTACGTATCTTGTACCTTGAACATTGATCGTTGATGATTCTAAACATACTTGCTAACATCTCACAGGTGGTATACATTCTCTCGCTTCATATGGTACTCTATTGTTGATAGCTGGGGGAATCGGCATTACCCACCCAATGTCATATTTAAACGAGGTTGTCTCCACTTTCACCGAGCAAAAAACAGCTACTCGCAAGGTGCATCTGGTCTGGATCGTCCGCAGTCTAGGTACGATCGCCCCACTGGTTACAGATAATTGACCACTAACATACGGAAAGACCATCTCACTTGGATTCAAACATTCATGGCCGATATACTAGGCCACGAGTCCCTAATCGGTCCAATAAACGCGAACGGGCACTCATACTTCCAATTTCCTCGGCTTCTCCTCTCCATCAGCCTCCATATCACAGCACATAAGGACACAATCGAGGAATACATACCACAACCAGATTCGCCGTGGATGCAATGCGCTCCGCCCAATGTACCGGTCGGTATCCACCACGGCAAGCCTTGTATAAAATCCGTGCTAGAAAAAGAAAAAGCAGAGCAAATCGGTGCGATGGCGGTTAGCGTCTGCGGTCCTGGTGGCCTAGGCGATAGTGTGCGCGAGGCTGTCAGGAATATACAAGGGGAGAAAACGGTTGATCTGTTTGAAGAGACATTCTCATGGTAGGTGATTTATGTTTATAGATATGTTATATAGTTGAGGCTCTGTGGGTTTGGCGTTATCTTTCCATGTGCACAATTTGAGTTGAGCTCTAAATCAATATCCTCTGTGCGGTTTAAAGAATGGGACCTAAATATAGATCAAATATATGTTTTTGATCAGTAGACTAATGTACACATTATTGCGATACCAGAGTGGTGGCTTGTAGATGATTTATTCACTGGCCCTCAACCATGCATTCCAACACTCACGCGCCTCTATTCTGTTTTGCAGCATCGAAAGAGCTTAGCTGGAAGATATTTCATTGTTCATTACACCGTCTATTTTGGACAGAGCACGGTCTATCAAGTCTTCCACGAGTTCCTGGCTAGGTGCACAGACAGCCTTCGCGTCACGAAGGCCTTGCACCCATACACCCCATCTTTCCCGTTCAAAGCCCTTCCAACCGCGATTGAAATATAGTTCGCCCGGTCGACCATCATATTTGTTGTATTTGCGGCCGTTGAGTACATTTTCCCACAGTCTATCACCGGCACAAATTAGCCAGTAGCACACGCTGAGCAGACCAGCTGTAGAGACAATCTGTTCGGAAGGAATGCCCTCTTCGAATACATGGCGAAGTCCACAGAGTCCCATGTGAGAAACATCCATAGCATCGCTGATCCAGGCTTGCAACGAAGAATTGTATTGCACATCTGCAGCTTGCGTCAATTGCGCGAGAAAGATATTGAGCTTTGCCCATCTGATCTGCTGATCGGGCTCCATCTCGGGATCACAGAGGTCTGAGGATTGATTAGCGCTACAGAAGAAAATACAGAACGCGATGTCGCTTACGTGTCATCCGATCATTCCATATCTCGCGGGCCCAGAAAGTCAGGGATGGTAGATGCGACCATACTCTGCTTCCATCCTGTGTTTTTAGGATCAACCCTGTCGATGAATCGACGGCGTTGTATAGCTTTAATTCTCCCAGAAACTCAACCAATGGACCATACTGAGTTGTATCGATTTGCATAGCCAATTCAAGGATAGCTATGAATGTTATTTCGTCGGCCTTCTCGATGGTTCCTCCTGGGCCATAACTCTCCAGTCTGTCCATTGTCCTGTTTATGACCCATTGTACTGCATCACCAGTCGCAACTTCTCCATTGACAAGGGCCTCGAATAACTTGAATTCCTCGGAATCCTCAGCCCGCGTGAGCTTGAGCATTTCATCCCACATGATTATTAGCAATTATTCAGTTGAGGTCAAATTTTGAAAAAGTGCGCCTGAAACAATCTACTAGTGTGGCTTAGGGCTAACCATTGCCGATAGAGTTTATCTTTTTGGACATGGAGTGAATGGTGAATTTTAGCGTGAAGTCAAGCAATGATATTGTCGTGAACACCAAGACAATAAGTGGATCAAAATATCGGGTCTCGCCGCTCCAGTGTTCTAGATTATGCAGGCGCTAAATTAGTATTTTCTCCCGATCCCCAATATTTGGAAAATATAGTCATTGCTACGGGGTCCGGGAGCTCAAGTTCTTCTGGTCAAAGGTCGTGCTTTCTGTTGAATACATTTTTTTGCCAGGCCCGAACTTCATATTTTCTCTCCGTGTATATATCTATCCCAAGCATCAGAAGGAAAAGAAAAGGCACAAAACAAAGCCATGTGACAGGACATGAAATAAATTAATGTTCAATTTGAATCACTCTGTGCAACAACCCACTGGAAAAGTTCCGCGATCGAGTTGCTCACGGCAGCTGTCCTAGGAATCTCATGTCCACCACCGTGATCGTAGGTGCGACGTTTCGTTGGTTCGCATATACCAGAGAGGTGCACACCAGCCGCCCATCGAGGATCCTTCGAGCCGTAAATATGTACCGTGGGAACATTGATACGGTAGGGGCTAGTGATCTCATCCCGCAATTCGGCCTCCGACAGCCCGCCGTCTAGAGTCTTGAGACCAGTCCACCGATCCGCACCCTGGGCCAAGAGCGCCGACGAGTTGGCTTGTAGAGCTAGCGCAGACCGGGATGCAAGATCACGCTCGCGCGCCTCGGCAGAAACATGGAAGCCCATCTCCTCGAGAACACTCAAGGAGGCGCCACCGCAGACAAAAATAGCCGCTTTGAACGGTGGCGGGAGATGGGGCGTCTCTTCTTGATGGAATAGGAGAGCACTAGAGCCCAAAACGCAGCCTTGCGAGAACATCAGTGCGAGATCGTATGGGCCATTTTTGGCGATATGCTCAGTCAGCCAGTTGTAGGTGGCTCGGACCGAGTCGACGCCATCCTGTTCCCAAAAGGAATAATAAGGCGGACCGTAGAAGATATCTACGCCTGCAGCGGCATCACTCTTAAATGGGCCATCAAGAAAATCAAATTGTATGTCGTTGGGAAGTTTAGCGCGAAATGAGGCTATGAAGTGAGATTAGTTATCTGGAAAGACCCGCGGACTGGGAAGCTAACAAATCTGAGAGCGGAAGATAGAGCCACTGGTCCCCTTCCCGTGGAGACAAAGCACCTTCATGGCTAATGGTATTCTGGTTGAAATCAAAAGATGAGTTTGGGAGGAAGTTCTGTGGAGGGGTATGCCGATAAGCACTAACCGACTAGACCCCGCGATATGCCGTTTCGGGATGACACCTTGTTTTGAACAGCCCTAGGTCAAAAGGCCAAAGGAGGTCAAATAAGTTGGTTTGGACTCGAATAACAAGATATACGTCTGACAATTATTCTCGAAATTGAAATCTGGTTTTGTTCCCAGTCTTGGCTGTTACCCCTTGCGTCAGCTAGGCGGGGAACATTTATACCTGATATACTTCGTATTAGCATGTCAGACATTCCTTGCAAGAGAAACATAGAAATATCGGTGGATTGAAAGATATTATGGCCTTTATGAGTAGTGTGCCTCCTTAAGTCCCTACATCAAGAAGAGCCCGGTATAGATTATGTAGTAAACGGAATCTGATATCAGATGTCAGTCTCGTGTGCGCATATTTCCGGTGTTTCTTGGCACTATATTTCTTGTGCATTGCATTATACACCAATTTTGACAGGCAAGCCTCGTTGAATATGTCACTGTGGGTGCAACTGTTGATTTTGGAAAGTTGACCATTCCTCAGTCAAGAATAGACCTGTGACCTAGGAGTATGGAAGATATGCAGTCATGTCTTTTCCACAAAATTGCGACCAAAAGCCACGATAGTCCTTCCATGTGAATGGTGGACGCAATATCTCTAGTTTAAATTGGTCAAAATCTTGGCACGACTGTGTCAATGATCCCTGATGTGCAATATTGAAAATTGGCCAAGAGACTAAAGGCCCAGAGTAGGCAGAAGGATTATCGATTGAGGCCTGTCAGAGTGAATCGAAAGATGCCCAATGCCATGGGCATTCCCGTGATCAAAGCTGTGTGTATTCTTATGTGGCCCGAAGAAATATCAAACACAATATTCCAGGGGCAACGCTGTTCATAAAGGGCTTAAGAGGCGGGTAGATTGAGACGGAGTCGGTGCAATATTTGGGACGATCCCAGAAAAGGTAAGTGGACCTCGGGATCTTTCGTCATACTTCTCCAATTTGTAATCAGAACTATTTAACAACTCCATATTAACCCATATTCCCCTTTCTCAATTCATTTCTTCTTATTCATACTCAAAATGAAGGCAGTTATCGTCACCCAGCCCAAGACCGAAGGTCTGGTCACAGATCGACCCATCCCCAAACTTCGTGATGATTACCTTCTCGTCAAGACCGTCAGTGTGGGATTGAACCCTACCGACTGGAAGCATATTGCTTTCATTGCTCCTCCCGGTGTTCTCGTCGGATGCGACTATGCAGGCACCGTCGAAGCCGTCGGCAAGGATGTCAAAAAGCAATTCAAGAAGGGTGACCGCGTGTGTGGATTCGTGCACGGTGCCAATGCAGTGCAGCCTGAAGATGGCGCTTTCGCCGAGTACATCGTTGCCAAGGGGGACGTGCAGTGGAAGATACCCGAAAATATGAGCTTCCAGGAAGCCGCTACCCTCGGAGTGGGCATCAGCACCGTGGGCCAGGGTCTGTACCAGAGTCTGAAGCTTGCGCTGCCCACTGAGCCTATCAAGGATGCGACTCCGATTTTGATTTACGGCGGCTCCACCGCGACCGGCACCCTGGCCATCCAATTTGCCAAGTTGTCAGGCTACAAGGTCCTGACCACTTGCTCGCCGCGCAACTTCGATTTGGTCCGCAGCCTTGGCGCCGATGATGTCTATGACTACAAGGACGCCCAGGCCCCCGCTAAGATTCGCAAGGCCACTGATAACAAACTGAAGCTCGTATTCGACTGTATCTCGCTCGAGTCCAGTGCTGCGTTCTGCGACAATGCTATCTCCACCGATGGCGGCGAGTATAGCGCTCTGTTGAGCATCAAAATTAACCGTGCCAATGTGAACGACCGCTTTACTCTGGCTTATACCACCATCGGCGAGGCGTTCTCCTTCGGAGATATTCCCTTCCCCGCCAAGCCGGAAGACAAGGCGCACGCTGAAAAATTCATTCACATTGCCGAGGATCTGCTTGCTCAAGGAAAGGTCAAGGTTCACCCCCTAAGATCGGTCAGCATGGGCTGAAGGGTGTGATTGAGGGTCTGAAGTTGCTCAAGGAGGACAAGGTCAGCGGCGAGAAGCTGGTCTACAATATTTCCGAGACCCCCTGAATAAGACGTTGAGATTTAAAGGGCTACAAAGCCACCGTTTTTGTTCCCACCTTGAATTCCCGTGTGAGGTTGATCTATTTCCCACTCAACATTGTTAGTAGTATCTTCATAAGACAGGCGTGAATTTTCAGCTTGTCACCCGCCCCTCCTTTTCAAGGTTGTTATTGATTATAAATCGAGCCATGCTCCTACGTTTCGCACAAGGAAAGCCTCGCGTCCTATCATTAAATTCTACTTCCAACTGTTGTCCTGTCGGCCCGGACCGGTTCCAAACCAATTGCGACGATTATCAATCAAACCTCTGTTCAAACACACCAAGGACATAAGCAAACTGACGTTAAATAAACGTAAATTCTTCATAACGGTCTTTACTGCACTGATTTTAAACTCAACCCCGGCTTGGTGGCGCAAAGAACCGACATGGTGCTGACCAATCAGATCATTTTAGGGTTAGCCTTCGTATCTCTTGCCCTGTCTAGTATACTTAAGCCCTAAGGAAATTTCATGCTAGTTGATATATCAAATGATTTCATTCTGGAAACATAACAAAAAACGAAAAAAAAAACGTGTTGAACGCCTTGGGAGGTAGCAATTCATGGCCAACTTGGTGTTGAACCAGTCAGACAAATGTTCCAAATCACTTCAGTTCCACGCTCGCATTCGCACTCAGTGATAGTGGTGTAAGATTGCCCAATCCTGCCCGCGTCTCAGCATCCTCAAGTGTAAGAGTTGCAGTCTTTCCGCTTCCGATGCCGAACGATCGCTTCACTGCCTTCCAGCTCTCAACGCACAACAGGTAGACACATGTACAACCAAAGACCACTCCCCACTCCCAGGTGATAGCATGATGCTTAAAGACCACTTGGTTAACAACTGGGAGATAAATCACCGGGAAAGCAATGACAAAACCAGCCATGACTGCCCAGAAGAGGAAGCGATTGTTCCAGACGGTGGGGAAGACTGAGAACGTATTGGGATACCTGATCGGATCCATGTTGAATAGGGAACGAGAAAAGTGTTTCACCTCCCACGCTGTAACAAGGAGGAGAAAGGTGAGTGTCGCGTATGTAGTGGCGCGAGCGCGGAACACTGTGTCGCAGCTTGGATTGTACTCCTGATTACATCCATCGCCTAAAGAAGACGTTCCCGACCCGGCGCCGTATATCACGCAGACAAATGAGACGAGGCAAAGGATTCCCATGAAAGTTCCGTATATCATTTTATCCACGATGAGCTCACGCGTAAAAACACCTACGCGTAGGTCGTGTGGTGGTCTGTACATGATATCTGGCTGGGCCTCTTCAAGTCCAAGACCGACAGCCAAGAATGAAGATGTAACAAGATTCGCCCATAAGATCTCCAGTGGGGACAATGGGAAAACTGAGTCACCTCCCTTGTCCTTAAAAGCAAGTGCGATCAGGAGGAGGATGACTTGCGCAATGTTCGAAATGAGCAGATGTAGGAGGAACTAAAATCGACGTCAGTAAATCCAATTAAATATTGACGGGGATATGTCTACCTTCTGAATGTTATCAAAAAGTCGTCTACCCTCTTCTACTGCTTTGACAATAGAAGAGAAGTTATCATCTGTCAAAACCATGTCGGCAGCCTCCTTGGCAACATCGCTACCGTTTTTGCCCATAGCAATACCGACATCAGCCCTTTTGAGAGCAGGTGAGTCATTAACACCGTCTCCCGTCATGACACAAAATGCCTGACGTCGATGCATCGCATCTACCATCCGAACCTTGGTGGCAGGGCTACAGCGTGCGATGACAAGAGGCAGTTCCTCAATCGCGTCAATTTCTGCATCGGTCAACTTGTCGAATTCATCCGCAGCCATTACCAGTCTGCTAGATTTGATGTGCGCCGTGACACGGTCAAGAATACCTACTTCCGACGCAATTGCTGTCGCTGTCTTAATGTGGTCACCAGTGAGCATGTGCACCGTGATCCCTGCCATTTGGCATCTGCGTACGGCTGCAGCTGATTCGACTCGAGGGGGATCATATAGTCCTACAAGACCTCCGAATCGTAGGTTTGATTCAGCAGCGCTCCTTGGGGATATTTGAGATTCATCGTCGATTGGCGGTGTTTTATATGCGATGCATAGCACGCGAAGTCCTTCGCCCGCCATCCGATCGGCCGTGTCTCGTATGACTTGCTTTTCTGCTTCATCAATATTGAGATGCGGAATAATGGTCTCCGGGGCACCCTTGGTGTACACCTCTTTGATCCTATCCCGTAAATTGTCATAGACAACGGTCATTTTCTTGATAGCGGAATCAAATGGATACTCTGCGTGCAATTGAAGTTGTCTTTTCTTCATCACAGAGTCTTTTCCGAAATCAAAGCGCATAGCCAGAACGTGAAGAGCAATTTCCGTTGGTTCACCCACAGCACTCCATATTTTATTTTCATGGTGGATAGCGGAAAGGTTGCAGAGAGCAAGCGCTCGTAGGAAGGTATGAAGGGCAGGATTGTCTTCGATGGGTTGATTGGAGCTCCAATCAATCTCATCTAGTTGGACCAGACCACTGGTCGGGTCAAATGGATCTGTAGTCTGGCTCACAGTCAAAGTTCCAGCACCGGGGATCCATGCAGAGCGGGCTACCATCTTTCCCTGGGTCAAGGTCCCTGTCTTGTCAGAACAGATGTTCGTGACGCCGCCGACTGCCTCGAGACATTGAAGTTTTCGGACGATGACATTTCCCTTGGCCATTGCTTTTGTACCCACGGATATTGTGATCGTGAGGACAGCAATCAAGGATTCTGGGATAACAGCAACGGCAACACAGATGCCATATATGAGCACCTCGCCCTGAACATCCCATTTATTGACCGAAAAGACAATAATGGCGAGCAGAATTGCCAGTCCAAAAAGCAAGAGTGCAAATTTGCTCAACTTCACTTGCAATGGCGTACCAATCAATCCCAACACGTTCATGAAAAATGCCTTGGTCCGTTTTCCCGCCTTAACAAGACGGCTCGAGTCACCAAGATCAGGCTGTGTCTGGAGTAGTTGTGCAATTTTCCCGACCTCTGTATTCATTCCTGTTGCGGTGACTATTCCCATTGCACGACCTTGTGTAGTGCTGCAGCCAGAATAGGCCATGTTGGTTCGATCGCCGATAGGGATATCAGGCGATGACAGGGTTACATGAGGGGTTTTGAGAATGGGGAGGGATTCGCCCGTGAGAAGTGCTTCATCCATTGAAGCATTCATGCCATCAAACAAGCGTAGATCGGCAGGGACAATATCCCCAACTGCTAGCTGGACTATGTCGCCAACAACCAGCGACTCCGCCTTGACAGAGGCAATGCGGCCCTCTCGGATGGCCTTGCATATTGGGGCGGAGAGACGATGCAGCGACATGATTGTCTTTTCAGCACGATAGTCTTGCACGAAGCTAGAAGAAAAAAAGAATATTAGCCCAAGTAGTGGAGGAAAGATGTTCTGAAATACTCACCCCACAACTATATTCAAAACAATCACTGCGGTGATGACACCTCCCTCAATATAATCATCAATTCCAAAGGATAGGGCCATGGTGATCAAGAGAACCTTGAATTGTGTCAGCTATGTTTTGTTGGCATTGATAGATGTGGTTGAACATACTAACGTAAGACTGTTAGACACCTGCCTTAGCAGTATCCCCCAGATGGAGACACCCTCCATTTCACGCACGGTATTCGGACCATCGCGCTGGAGGCGGGAGGCCGCTTCGGTGCTAGAGAGTCCATCTCTAAAGCGTGGGTTAATAAGGATGCTTGACTATTTTAGGGTACACCAAACCACTAACTCACTGGAGATCTGTGTGGAGGAGGGATGCGAGTTCAGAAGGTTCTATGAGATGGGCGTTTTGATCAGGCCCTTCTTTACTTGGTTGGTCCAAGGACGCAGTATGATCGGTGTGCGAGATAGGGTTGTCAGTAGCGCAGGGCTTAGTACCGTTTGTCACATTGGGTTGGGGATTGGTTTCCGTGAAAGGACATATAGGAGGCTCTGTCGATTCCTCGACATCGGGGGTTATCTCTACGCCCATTCAATAAGATTGTGGGGAAAAGAAAGTGGAAATAAGTCAGATGGCCTTTAGATTCCCCGAATACCCGTCAACCTTGAAAGTAGGACAAAAGTATGTTCGCACTAGGTGGGGGAGGTGGAAGTAGCAAGGAAGAATGATCTAGAAACGGAATTTATGTGCGACAGGTAACCATGTACATAAGAACAGGGCACATGCTTTCTACCAGAAGAGGGAATCTAAGCTGTGAGGGGCAGCCCTGATTACATCGTGAAGCTGCGATGTCATTGGGGCGACTTACTGTCGGAAATTCTTGGCTCCTCTGGGCTCTGGCGGAGTTTCCAAATATCCTGGTCTGTAATCCAGTTAGATCATGGGACCAAGCTCCTTGCATTGGGATTGGACCTTGCAGTCCGGGGTTGAAGCCACAACTTGGCTTTTAGGCAGTCGGTGGCGTGCTATTTCTGGGTTAAGGCTGACGGGCTTAACAGAATCCCATACCCTCTCGTACTTTGGAATCCCTAGGGGGTAACGAGCCGAGTACTACCAGATAACGGAGGTGACAGAAGTGCTCTAAAGTCGGTTCGAAGCTTGCATCCTGTATGAGCACAGCCGCCTTGCCAATCCTCGGTTAATTAAATAGGCCGCATTCCAAGAGCTCGGCATCTTGGGACTGACACGTCTACTGGGAATCGGTAGCGAATCAGATAAGACACTCTCGTCCAGTCACGGTCAGTGGACGTTGCCTGTAAAGCCAAAGAAGATCAGTGATTATACCTATGCACAATAGTAGATAGGTAATATAGGTAAATATAGTAAAAGGAAAGTTCTAAATGTTCCAATATTCTAACAGCTTGTAGTAGATACCACAGAAGTATATGATGGATGGGCGACAAACAAAGTACCTAGTACAAGCCCAGTAAAGGCGGCCAATCAAGGAGCGGCCCGCACATGAAAAATCGCAACTTTGCGACTTTGCTCCAACACACCTTTGGAAGCTTCCCGATTTTAGATCTTTCTATCGCGAATATGGTCGGCCCCATAGCATCCCTCTCACAATTAAACCGTGCCGACGGCTCAGCGTCATACAAATGCCCAGCCACCGGTTACAGCATTCTGGGCGCAGTCAACGCGCCCATTGAGCTCCCAGCACGCCGTGACGCATTGAAACCCGAAGAAGCCACCGTGGAGGTCTTTGTCAAACCTGGTACGACAACTGCTGGCGTTGGTGAAAGATATGCCGAAGGAATCCTGCGGTCTGTGCTAGGGAAAATCGTCCTCGGACGGGAGAAGGGCTTCCCCCGTCGCGGCGTAGTCATCACCCTGGCTATTGTTGGAGGAGAGAATGTGGAACGCGGTGACTCTGTGAGTATTTCAAAACCTCCCTTCACTCTGCACTATTGTGGAACTGTTAGACTGATCTCTATCTAGTACCTTACTATCCTCCCGGCTCTCCTCCATGCTGCCTTGCTCGCTATGGTATCCGCCTCCGTTCCTCTGTCGATGACCTTCTCCGCGACCCTCCTCGGTGTAACCAAGTCTGGTGATATTGTGCGGGACCCCTCCCCGACCGCCGCCAAGGCTGCTGTGTCCCTCCATGTTTTTGCCTTCTCCTCGAAGAACCACCTTTTGCTCAACGAGAGCGAGGGTCGGTTTGAGTTTGATACCTGGGAACTTGTCCGTGAGCGCGCGCTCTCCATTTGCCAGGGTGTGACAAGCGCCGATGGCGATGTTACTATGGGCGAAGGAACGGCCAGCGCCAGTTTGAATGGTTTCATCCGGGAGACCGTGGAGGACCGGGTCTACAGCGACTACGCCTACAAGCTGGACTCTATCTGAGGCGGACTACGCCCACGGCAAATCTGCGGAGAGTTAGCGAGACGCGATGAAATATAATAGGTCGGTTGGTCATCCCCTGGGCCCCTTCTCCTGGGCACATGGCTTCTCTGAAGCACTCGCTATATCTCCCTCCCCTCGACTAGGGATACGACGGTGCCACAGAATAGTTGATCGAGTACCACACCCGGTTAAGGCACCGTCACCTGACTGCCACTGCATGTACAACACGCTTCATTCAGCTGCCACAAGCGACAGTCTTGCTGCGTGTGAGGCTTGTTTTCGGGTTTCCCTCAAATGTTGGATTCCGAACGACCCCCGTCAGCTTTTGATATTGAACGTTTTGGTCGCCCGATCTTGCCAAGTGATTTAGCGCTGGACAGTTGAAACTACAGACTAGTAGGCGCTAGAATGATGGCCCACTTCGAATCAGGGTTGGAAGGGGATACATGTTCTAACATTCTGATAAAGACTACACAAAGTAACAGAATGAAATATTAAAAAAGAAATCCCAAACACCTATTACCTCTAAGCAATCTACATACGATCCTCTAATGTCAGATAACACAGTGTAAACGTCATTTATCTGAGCGCACTGCGCGAGTGTACGCATTTGGTGATGACCAGTCAGACTCACCAATTATAGATATTTCTGGGGAATCTCGCCAAAGTCAGAAACCAATCTAAATAAATCGCCTAGTGGATTGTCGAGGTCCGTGGACCTGAAAAGCCCTGGAGGAATTCCCTTTTTTTGGGGATGTTATCCTTGCCAATTGTCAATCTTTACCTCCAACACTGCTTCTCTCGAGTTTATCCGCATCCTTGTCGACATCCTTGTCGACATATTAAAATATAAAAAAATTAACAAATCGAAAAAGAGAGAAAACCCCCAAAAAAGGTCGTGGAATACGCTAGAATCAATATCAACTCCAGGACTGGGTCCACGACTGGGGACACAACATCTCAAGACTTCGGATCCGCAATCCCCGTTACATCCGAGCTCTTTTCCTGATTACACGTCTTATTTACCTGCCGCCAAAGCCGATGGCGTCCAGCCGTGATCATCTCCGGTCTGACACATTCTCGAGTCTATCTACAACGCAAACCCCCTCTCTATCCAAAGCCCCGCCCCCAGCAACCGCGGCGCTCCTCCGCGATAATGCGCTCAACATAGAACCCTCGACCCAGGACAATCGCCCAGGTCTCCCTCGAGGAATCACTAGCGCGCTGCCTACAAAAATCTCCGAACCGGCCCAAGAGGAGGCCGTAGGCTCGTCGCTACCTTCCTCGAAGTTACGGTCATTTCGCCGGAAGTCGATTAATCGCCGATCGAAGAAAGCGTTGTCGACCGACTGTATACCGCGACAGACAATTTTGAAAGCGCTGGCCTCCCGGGCTTCGATACTCAGCAATAATACCAATATATCGACGAATCCCTCGAGTATGCCCAATAAATCCATCCAGGCTTCCCCGCCTTCCGACCTACAACGGCGGGGGAGCAATGATTCCTCCCACAATCTCTCTACCGCGCTATCAAATCTTCAATTGAGCGGGTATCTCGATCGATCTCCTGCCACAGCACGTCTAATATTGCAATCGCCATGTTATTTCCACCAACGCTTCGATGATGCCGTCAACATAAAAAAGGTGTTGGAGGAAATCGCCGACGACGAGTGGCTGTCACATTCGCGACTAGTTCAGACGGCAACTGGAGTTCGTGAAGTGTCGAAGCAATTACAGCGACGACCTATCAAACGGGCGGTGCGAAATGTTATGATTGTCACCAAGGCGCGTGATAACAGCCTGGTGCACTTGACTCGGGAAGTCGCTGAGTGGCTGCTTTCGACCCCAAGATACGGGAATGAATTAGGAATCAACGTCTATGTAGATGCGAAGCTGCGAAATTCGAAACGATTTGATGCTCCGGGGCTATTGCAAAAAGACCCGATGTTTGCGCAGATGTTACATTTTTGGACACCGGACCTGTGCTGGACATCACCGGACAAGTTCGACTTGGTGCTGACCCTCGGTGGTGATGGCACCGTTCTTTTCACATCTTGGCTCTTTCAGCGCGTGGTTCCGCCCGTGCTCTGCTTTTCGCTAGGCAGCCTGGGCTTCCTCACAAATTTTGAGTTTTCCGACTACAAATCACAGCTTAATGCCGTTATGGGCGAGGTGGGCATGCGCGTCAATTTGCGCATGCGGTTCACATGTACCGTTTATCGGAAAGACCGCAGCAAGGGAGCAGAGATGGGTGCTGTCGAGGAGGGCGAGCAATTCGAAGTATTGAATGAGCTCGTCATCGACCGCGGCCCGTCCCCCTATGTCTCGAACCTAGAGCTCTATGCCGACGACGACCTGCTAACAGTCGTCCAAGCGGATGGATGTATCTTCTCCACGCCGACTGGCTCCACGGCATACTCTCTCTCCGCCGGCGGTTCTCTTATGCACCCATCCATCCCGGGCATCCTCCTCACCCCAATATGCCCACACACCCTCTCCTTCCGCCCAATGGTCCTCTCCGACTCCCACCTCCTCCGTATTGCAGTTCCTAAATCCTCCCGATCCACCGCTTACTGCTCCTTTGACGGTAAAGGCCGCGTCGAACTGCGCCAAGGCGACTATGTCACTGTCGAAGCTAGCCAGTACCCATTCCCGACAGTCGTTGCCAACAACAACGAATGGTTCACCAGCGTACAGCGTGCTCTGCGGTGGAACACGCGCGGCGCGGTCCAGAAGGGCTGGGACGGCGGCGATACCGATGCCGACGCAGATTTGAACAGCGATCCCAATGAAGACGAACAGTGGGACATCGATATGGACAACACACTCGCTGGGACAGATAGTGGCATCGGTCCCAGTGAAGATGGGGATGCTCTGTCGCCCAATCCTATGCGTCGGCAAATGAGCTTGCTCAATATGTGATGTTCTTGTGCATGTTAGCGATTTTCGATTTCCTTTTGTGCTCTATACCTCTTTTATCGTTTGGGTCTCGGTGTTTTCTCTTGTTTACATTTCTCAAACCCAGCGTGATGAGGTTCGCTCGGTGTTTTGCATTGTAATTTTGTTTCCGACATATCTCAGACAGGGGAGCATCTGCATCACTGTTTTTCTTGGATATCGTGTCAATAGACCATGACATATTGCCTCTACGGCTTGAATAGAAAGGCTTCGGCGGGTCGATTATGATTTTTTCTCGCGACTTGCTACTATCACCTCTAGACTTTGAATGGTGTAATTCTAGAATGATGAGAATTTCCCACGTTCTGGTCATTGCATTCTTACTCTTCGTTGGACTGTGGAGAGCGTAAGAAGGCCATCCACTGTAACTTTTCTCAAGGCTGATATGCACACATCTTACGTACTAGTGTGCATGCTTTATATTACGGCTGTTTGTTCAGAGAGTATGTTGTATACCACTTTGTGAGATCTTTCCTCTCATTGTGGGCATCAAATTTCTGCCAAATGAATTTTCACATGCTTCCATCGCAGCCTTGTTCTTCAAAGTCCTTTCACATCTTAGAACCTAGATTCTTCGGTCACTTTACTCCAGACTAAGATTCTACCATCATACCTAATATGGATCCATTCCTTCCATGGATAGCTTGGGGTCTATCCATGGCCTAAATAACATTGTTGTAGGTAGGATTTCCAACATAGATGGCAGCGAGTACGAAAATTGTATGCTTCTTACGGGCCGGACCCCGGCCTATTAGAAATTGGCTAAGGTATCTATTAAAATTTTCCAAGGCTGGAAGCAGCAATTTTACCGAACTATTAGTAGTAATTACACCTGTGAACTCTTCCTCCAGGGCTTGTAATTTATAAGACGTGCAATATTATATAAGCTATATTCATAAGGGTTTCGTATACAGATCGGTGTGTACAAGCAAATAGCAATGCAAATGTGACTCAGAAAAGAAGGGATCCCATCAGTCAAGCCGTCATTGTACCAAGCGCCCAAACCACACATTATCGCCCACTTCCCATCTCGTAGGGTCCCGGATTTGGTCGGCTATTATCCAGCTCCAATACGGATGTTTGCTTGCCCCAATCAACACGCTCTGATTGGTTGGAGTACTGGGAATAAGTCGTGGGAGGCATATAGTTTTGTTGGACGCTGACATCTGGAACTGCCATTTTCTTTTGTCGACGACGGCGTATGAGCCACCACACGACCAGGGCAATTACGACAAGCCCAGCAGCACCACATCCAGCGCCGATGCCCGCCGTGGCTCCCGTAGACAGACCCCCACTGTCAGAAGATGTACTTTGAGGGCTGGGCTCAGTCGTTTTGGTAGTTTTAGTACTCGAGCCTCCACCCGAAGTACTATTCGACTCTGTGAGCGGGGACCAATGTGATGCCCAGGTCTCCTCCCAGCTATCACCTGATCCCGACAACTCAGTTGCGCTCTCTTCAATGGGGATGGTGCTCGTTTGGGAGTATCCGGGGCCCGGGGCTTGGGCCAGAAACCAGTTTCCAATGCCAACAATTCCAGCTCCATAATTCACGCCAATGAAGGCAGCTTGGAAGAAAGCTCGTCCCAGGGCGTATGTCCCCTCGGTTCCAAAACAGGGGAAGTACGGTGTGGGTTTTTCGACGAGAGGCGCTTCGAGTGTAAGATTGAGCAACGCGAATGGCACCTTGATAGTGATGTTCTGAGTGTTGGTATTATCTTTGACAAAGGTGAATGCCAAATAGCTGGGAGATGTCACAATTTTCGTGTATTGAGGGTCGTCCGTATTCCAGAAGTAAAGACCAAGATCTGCGTTGTGGGTTACTGGTAATTCGGCGGCAATGGCATCGCAGGAGCTTTGGGGGAGATAAATGTAGGGATCCACAACGTTTGCGCGAACACTAACGCCAGACTCAAGGGATGAATTTCCTTGGGCCAGTAAACCAGCTTTGCTTGGATATTTCCATGGCGAGCCTCCCTCTGCAACGCCTAGGCTGATGTCGAGCAGTGAAATTGGTGCTGAGCTCCCTGTATGAGGCTGGGCAGAAACTTTCCCCAGAGCCCGACTTTTATCATATCCACCGAGCATCAGACTGCCAGCAATGCCTAGCGGGGCAGACCCGATATGCATCCCGTATGTGTAAGAAGAAATCGTCGCGGATCCGTTCCATAACCAGCTGGTGATCATGGTGGCTCCAATTTTATCAAATGTTTGGTTGACGTCTTGGGCGCCTAACGACAGGTAACCGACTTGGAGGGGGTAGCTTTGGCCACCGGGATAGGTTTGATAACCTTGACTGATGCTGATCAGGTCGACATCTGGTACAGTTGTTCCATATAATTCCATCGTTTCTCGGGCACGTCTGGCTTTGCCAGAAACGGGAACCGCATTGGTCGGCGAAAAGTTTAGGTCTTCCCAACTATAACCAGTTGGGTCCAACTTGATGCTGGTATTGTCCCAGGTTGATGACATGTGGGGATCGAAAAGACCGGCTTCTTCGGCGTAGCAGACAGATGAAGTCGTGGTATTTGAGCAGTAGTCGGAAAGGAAGACATAAGTCTCCCACCACCGTCCTGCGTACATTGCAATCTCCTGTCGGCCACTACCCATCTTCACCAATACGGCGTTCCAGGGGCCGTCGGGCCCGTAGCTCTCGGGGGACCATGTCATAACCCATGGGCGCTGCGCAGATGTGAATCCCAGAAGGGCAAATAATACAAGAACGCTGAACATTATGGCCATTTTGTTGGAATTCCTTCCATATGCATATATAATATATACAAGCAGTCCAAAGGACTTGGAGGAAGAGACGGTATAAAAGCACACAATAATGAAATCTCAGGGGAATGACAATGCTGTGAGACTCCGAGGCCTACTTAAGACGACTCCACCGGGTTTGTTTATTATTTGAAATCAGAAAGAGGGAACAAACGACAGGGGGCGGTATCTCATACGTTAGATCCAGCGGCTAAACGAGGGAATTTGCGTATTTTCAGAAATTGCAGGGTTGGAACCCCTGTAGTTGGAACCCCTGTACAGAGTAGTTGGAAGCACCTCCATCACATCTATATAATACATGCTGTACTAGCTTGTAAAGAAAAAGGACCATACAAGAACAATACTACTAGTACTCTGAACGAAATGTACCCGAGATTGACTGGCGAATCGGGGGTCAGATATCTCGAACAAGTGGGGGCATAAGCGAACATAAGGCCGCCAAAATTTCAGCCTCTAGCCTCTTTTATATAGTACGCTGTAAAGTCCCTTTTTTCTATTGGATCTACTCCGTTCTATTCCTAGACTGACTTGGCGCCGACATTAGCGTTGACAGCTCAGCGCCTATCTCGATGCCAGCCTGTAACCACGTTGCTTCCTGTTTCTTTAACATCTCTTTGTTTGAATTATATATTTAAGCTATATTATAATCGGATATCTTCATGGATTGGCTTTGATCCAGCCTCAACTCTACCGACAAGTTCGTCCCCTCTACCGGCCTCCAGGGCTCACCATGCTACCAAACTTGCCAAAGGCAGCGCGCGCTATAATCGTCATCATTGTCCTGTTTTTTATAGCCGAGACGTTACTCATCTTGTCAAATGGGCGTACAAATACATCTTTTTACGAATTTCATCACGAGTCTCCGAAACCTACTGATGCCTTGGATTGGTCTCGCTTTGCCTACACCCAATATGTTACCAACACGCCATATCTGTGCAACTCGGTTATGCTCTTTGAAACCCTGAATCGCTTGCAAAGCAAGGCTGATCGCGTCATGATGTACCCATCGGAATTTTCGCGGGACGAAAGTGACAACGGGACAGAAAGTCGACTTCTCCGCAAAGCTCGAGATGAATACAAGGTCAAGCTAGTGCCCATCGAAATTCAAAGTCGATCAAGTGGTGACGGTATGTGCTATTCGTCTTTTTAGAATCGTTCTCATATTGTCATATATCCTGCCAAAACAAATCAAAATCTAATACCAATCTAGCAACATGGGCAGAGAGCTTCACTAAACTCCTCGCATTCAATCAAACACAATACGATCGCGTCCTGAGCCTCGATTCGGATGCCACTATGCTCCAGGTATGTTTCCCCGAGAACAAGGAATATCTTGCCTCACTTTACTGATAGGGTCCAGCATATGGATGAATTATTTTTTATGCCTCCATTTCCTCTAGCTATACCTCGAGCTTACTGGCTTAACCCCAATGACCGTGTGATGAGCTCTCAACTCCTACTTATCCAGCCTTCTCATTTTGAATTCAATCGCATCATGACAGCGATTGCCACGGCAGGTCGCACAGATTATGACATGGAGATTATGAATCATCTCTACGGAGATAGTGCGCTTATCTTGCCGCACCGTCCTTACACCATGTTGACTGGAGAATTCCGCAACGATGATCACTCGAAATATCTGGGGAATAGCAATGAAACTTGGAATCCCGATAAAGTTCTCAAAGAGGCCAAATTCGTGCATTTCTCTGACTGGCCAGTTCCAAAGGTATGTCCTTCATGCCTCGTTTGCATCCTTGAAATATCGGCCTCGTTAATAACCATATAATAGCCTTGGATTAGTCCCCCTTCTTATATCATGGATGAAAAGAAACCTTCCTGTCACATGAATCTAAGTAGTGGGCACCTAGACGACTGTCGGGATCGTGACTATTGGTTAGGGTTATATGCAGATTTCACCAAACGACGAAAGGTATTGGACACTCTTCTCTCAGTTTTACTTGGAATATCAGCTGACAGAAACAGGATGTTTGCGGAGATGACATATAATAGGTTGACTTTATACGAACCGGCCGTTCCCTGGTCGAACGAATATGTTGCATTATCGAAATTGAGAACGAGTTGTAGATATGTCTTCCCATAGTATACAATTAAACTTTTCCGTTGAAATCCAATGAACACCTCTGCCAATATTCTCTTATACCAAAAGAATGGTTCCGTAGAGCTACCAGCCCCGATATGAATTTGGAATTTTGGTCAACCAAATGGTAATACATACCCTTGATTGTAATACATTTACTATACCAATGGATAGAAACTTTGAAGTACCGTCTTATGGGGCACCATACCCCGTTGTGATTGGCATATAATAACGTCTTCGTGCCGGGCCGTATGGGCTTTTGCGTGCGATCGGCGCTCTCTTTTGCGAGACGCTAGTCATTATAACCCACACGCGTTCGTAGAATCTGTAATATTACCTGTTCAAGGAGTACTACTTCGTAGTCCGGGAGTAGCAAGCTTGACTTTTAGTAGTTCAATTTTCCGTACACCTTATCTAGCGCTTGAGGCTTGCCTCTAAAATTTGAAGTGGAAATGGCTGTATCATATACCACAATGCAAGCGAGCATTGAACGAGTCATTCATTGGTCGGATAGATCACCAGCCCTAAAACGTACCTACCAGGTAGGAGTACAGACCATGTGCCCAATTCTTGGCACTATCGAGCACCTCAAGGACTCCATAATAATCTTAACTCAGCCGCGCGGAGGTCTTACTACAACTCAAGGCACGATGGCTGGAACTTGTTTGTGCATCAGCTTATTCCGTACATTTGACCGCTAGGGCTCTGAAAACATCCTAGATAATCATTGCTAGAATCATCAAATCAAGCATCCTTGCTGTTTTTTTGCGTCCGGTTTTCTCTATTTTTAGTCTCTTACCGGCTAATGCGCCCTTTTAAACAAATAATATGGATCAATTCCGATGACCTTCCGATCAACCCCAAAGCCCCCCTTAAGCTCGGACATGCTCGGCCTTTTGTGGAAATTAGGGCGTGATGCTAAATTCCAATACGCCTAGTATAATACCTTGGCACGGACGACCGCAGGTGTTTTGCTATGTATTAGTTAGTACTAGTGTCTTGGCGTATGTAATAGGACGAATAATAATATTAAGCGACCGTCTCAAGGGGATCACCGCGCACACACACCTAGGTACCCCATTACTTATTTGAAAGAACGACATGATGTTAAATGATAGCAACAAAGTCTAAGTAAACAGAATGAATTATGGTCCAGTCTTTTTTACACAATAGCTTTGCCCATATTGGAAGCCTAGTTGTCAATATGGCAAATTTTCTTAAGGTGGGGACTTAGACATGTTCTTGGGTCTCAAATAAGGGTTTGGCTCCTGTGTTGTACTTTTCTTCTTTTCGAAGGGTTCTAGGGTCTCCCAATCTTCTTGTTTGGACATAAAGTCTCATAACGTGTTGCCTGCTCAATTCTAACAAATCTTCGCCGAATCGGTATCATGTCCATGATGCAACCTTATTGTGCAGCTAAGATATAGGGTATTGATAAACTCACCCCCCTTTTGGCTATTCTCACCCCCCTCCCCTACCTTGACTTTCAGGCACCTATAGACCGCCTTCCTTAACTAGTTACCGCTTTTATCTTGAAGTCACTATACCTCCTCTTACTATGTGAACCCTTAACAAAAATAAGTACCTCTTGTAAAAAAGTAAAGCTTCATGAAAATCAATTTTGATTCTTATATCTTTCAACCTATGTACCTTTCTCTCTATCAATACCTGCTTCCTCTCTCCTTTATACTTCGTCTATCCTTCGCCTTTACTAGTTCCACTACCACTGTCACTACCGCTTTATTAAGGTGAACCTAAGTATCTTCTTTTAGTAATAAACATGCATTTTTTACTACGTAAATCAAAATTCAAACATACAGCTTTAGCTGGCAGAAAATAATATTGCCAGGTGTCATGTGATTTTTGGCCTGAAATCAGGCCGGGGGGTGAGTTTATCAATACCCAAGATATATATCTAACGTGTAGAACGCAGTCTCTATCAAAGGACTTGGCACTGAGATAGCTATTCATCTCCTCGGGCACAATCTTACATACTTGTGGTGCTCCTCTAGGGGTCTTTCGCCCAGCTCTCCAACCTTGAAGGTGTCTGGCCACCGTGGAATTATCTTTAGGTGTCCAGGATAATGTTGGGGTGTGGATGATTGACCGGGTTGAGTGCATATGACAGCTATATGAAGTGTAAAGACGGAAATGCAGCCCCCGTCCTGTACCTATGGACTCCATTGGCGAACCTACAGTGTACAGCAACATGGTCAAATTCTATAATTGGACACTTTTCAACCTTGAAAGGGCTCAAGGTTAATGTGCCGAGGTCATGGATGGAGCTCTTGAGGCTCTGGTACGAGATGACTGCTGTTCCACCTTAGTGCTTGCTAGGATCATATCGCAGTTTGCCGATTCATTCTGCAGATCATCAGCCTTTGTTGTCTTTCTTTTTGTTGTTTTTGCATGAATTGATAGCTTCTTGATTATTCAAACAGTTCATCTCTATTCTCATATTCCACCATGCAGTTAGATATCTGCCTATATTATATATATAGACCTTGCTCTTCTCACTCTCTTTTAACTTCCTATATTATGGCTCACTAGTGTGGTATCTGTGTCGATTGGGTAGACTGACTGCTATCAGAATCTCATGGATTTTTCCAAGGTTATCTTTACGTCAGATAGGATACACGTGAAGATAGCTTTCAATGATGCTTTATATCTCAATGACCAAATGACTCTTGTCCACGTTCTCTAGACACATACATCAGCAGATAAGGCTACCAGAAAGGATGGGAATTTCTATTATAGATATATAACAGAATGTTTTCAGAATGATGTGGCCTCATTCATCCATCGGTCATATTGGGAGCCCTATTATGGCCTATATGAAGTGTGTAGGGTTGCGTTTTTCCTTGTCATGTGTTTCGCATGTTTTTCTAAACTCCTAGATCTATGTATCACAAAACGAAGCGGAACTTATGGTCTTTGTTCAGCCGTCAAAAGAATATATACTTGTACTTTGCACGTTCCATATCCCCATCCAACCCATGCAACCATTCTTCATCGACCAAAAGAACGCTCAGCCCAGCCAATTATCCTTCCTATGTTTAGAATCCGACAGAGATCTCAACGCCATCTTTGACAGAGTGGGTCTCAAAGGCAGACTTCTCAACACAGTCACCATACTCATAAGGAACACCAATGCTTCCAGTAAGACCCTCGACGATGGGGTTGCCAAATGTGACGGCGGTCTTGGGCAAGTCGCCGCACTCCTCGGTGCCAACGAAATACTCGACAAAGCCCAACTGGCTCCCTTCAATACCCCGAGTGGTATCAGGAAGGGTATAAGAGCCAATATGGGTTTCCTTGCCGGTGACAGCATCAATCAATGTGCCGACCCAGGTGGTTCCCTCTGAGTTCTTGACATTCAGGTTATAGGTGTTGGCGTAGGTGCCGTTAATATTAACAGCACAGCTCACGCCAGCGCCACCGTCGGCACCATCGCTGCAATTCTCGTCGGTGGTGGTGCTTCCAGGAACAAAACTGGAGAAGGCTGCGTGAACTACGGAGCCCGCCGAGGAGTCAACTTGAGGCTGTAGGCCTGTGTAGCCCACGTCGGACTGCCCGGCGAAGGTAAATTGCTGGGCGAAGTAGAAGCCCTCTTCGTGAGGTGCGTTGGCGATGTTGATGGGGAAGGTGATTTCCCGGATGCCGTCCTCGCTCACGCCGGACACAGACCAGGAGTGTCCAACGAGGGCTTTGGCGGGCTGGAGAAGCGTGAGGGCGAAGGGAAAGGCCTGGGAAAACTTCATATTGGTTGGTGTTGGGACTTGAGAGGATTGGTTGTTGAGAATGGGAATGGGAGTGAGACTTCGGTGGTTCTATGCCTCTCCTTTATAGACTTACTTTATACTTGTTGTTGCATCCACCTTGAAGATCGTTAATGTTCTTATCAAGATGAAACATTAACATGTTCAGTATAGATGGCGATCTGCAATACTGTGGAACCGATGGAACCATGCCATACAATATAGTTCCCCTAGCATTGACATTTGGGAACGAGATCCAATTCTTGCAATCAACTTTGTTTAGGGGTCATAATATCATCGTTTGCTCCGAGTTGGATGACACTCTCTATGCCTTGAGCTTTCCCTTGAGTGGTTATATTCTACATGCAATGTAACATCGGGCTATTCCACCCCCGCAGCGAATATAAGCTGCAACGCATACAACATAGCAATATTCTCCTAATTCCCCTATTTCCCTGTCACAGTACTTGACATTGTACAGCATACAATTTATATTAACGGCGATATTTTCACTCCCGCACCTGGAGAAACCGATATCCGTAATCCCCGGATCTACACAGTTTGCGCCTTCGACGGATGGCTTCATTTCGCTTGCAGAAAGTAACTATGTGTGGACTATTCATGGTGTCAGGCCTCAGATCGATATAAATTCTACGACCAATCGTAGATTGAAGGGATTCTGAAGCTTAGGTTCTGATTGTGCCATGCAGATCTGTTCCAACACGCGTCGAGACTTGGCAGTCAAATGCAGTCATGGACATGTTAATCTCCGAGGCTACTCATTTATAACGCCGATCATCTCCTGCATTATAATACAATATACATAGTGGGTACAAGCGCCCAGGTAATCTAGTCCAAACATAAGAAAAGCTTGAGATGTGACGTAAAGAAGTGGTTCATGTATTGAACCTGGAGAGTTGAAACACCCTATCCAAGTGCCAAAGTGCAGCCATACATGTATTCAGCTCATAGACAAATCAATACCTACGTTGTACTCCGTACGGAGTACATGGTCAGCATTCAACGACAAAATGGATCCACCTGTCAGCCACGACTCCACTTCCGAGCTTCGGGCGCTCGAAGGCGCCAATGTGAACGAACACAACACTGGGCAAGGGCTTATGTCGTACCCCACAGATGATAAGGATGATAGCCCTCTGGATGGTGACCCTAGCTCGCATATTGCACTCAAGCCCCGACACTGACTACTACCTCAGGCGTGCTACGATGCCATTTCCTAGTGTATCCAGTACATATATATCAGTAACACACTTGCTAGCTGTAATAAACAAGGCTGCGATCGACAACGCAAGTAGAATTACAAAGTACGGCACGAGGATGAAACTTTCAGACCCCGGCATAGATCTACATGAAGAGCGATGGCAAGGGCCAGTTCCTTGATGTGATCTTCGACTATTGCTTCAGTCATTCCACGTCCAAGATAGGCAGATGAGACCCCAAGCAGACCAGGTATTCGTTCGCGTCGACATTGCACGTTGCACAGACGGTACGGATCTAGGGCGATTTTCTGAAAACGAATTCTGGCACACTACTTCGCTAGGAGCCTTGATTCTAGGCAGCTTTCCAATAGGAAACACATGCGTGTTGGATTTGTTGAGGCAAACTGATCTCACCAAGGTCGGATTCAGTGTGTTTTGGTACCGGGCGGGAGTTGATGTATGACCCTATAAGCAGAGACCGGCGCTGGCAAACTGATCGGCTGGCCACGACGAGCTATTTGTGGCTCATGGGTAATTGAGACATGCGCAGTATTTTGCGTGAGGAGTGAGCGCTACACTAGAGCCTGCTGTGGGAGCAGGCTCTGCGTAAAAAGAGAACCTACTAGGCTTTTGCGCCCAAATAGCTAACAGCAGCCACTCAGATGCGCGATCATAAACCGAAGAATTTTCATTTACCTAACCCCCGTGTCTTTCGTAACCATTATAAAAAAAGATATTATGTTCGCTTTTACCAGTCGCAGTTCTCAGCCAAGAATGTGGCCAATTTCTCAAGGTACTTCTTGTCCACGTCGTCAAATCCAGAAGGCTCGGTGCAGTCGACGTCAATAATAGCGACAGTCTATGAATGAATATGTGAGTATGTTCCTCCCAAAGCTAATTGTGTCTCCAGAAACCGCGCCAACGTCGCTGGGGAATAAGGACTAACCTCTCCGTTAACCAAGATAGGCACAACAATCTCACTGCGGCTCTCTGCGTCGCATGCAATGTGCCCAGGGAAGGTCAGAACATCAGGAACAATAACAGTCTCCTGCTTCGCGGCGGCAGTACCGCAAACGCCTTTGCCGAAGCGAATCTGCTGGCAGGCGGGCTTTCCATGGAACGGCCCAAGGAGAAGAAGCTGGTTCTCCGAGGAAGAGTATGTAGTTGAGATAATCACACCACCGGAACTGGGTGCACCGGGCACTGGCGGCGAGGAGACCGGGGAAGCGAGAGCTGGGAATTTGTCATCGCGAATATAGAATCCGGCCCAGTTGACCGAGGAGGAGGGGGCGGGGAGGGAGGCATAGGCGTGCCAAAGGAGAGAAGCGACGTTGGAGAGGTTGCTGGTGGGTCATTAGCGATCATGCTTTCAAGGGTTCTCGCAGTTGTTGAAGCGCGCATTGTTTGGATTGTGTGAACTCACCTAACCCAATTCCGCTGGCCGTCCAGGAGACCTTGTGTCGACAGCAAGAGCTGTTCATATATGTCTGCCTTGGAGCTATCTGGCATGAAATAAGAGGAGTCGGCGTGAGGCTGTCAGATGCAATTGTGTTAGCTCTCTGTCTTGGGGTCTGCAGGGACCTTCGCGGTATCCCCGGGCTTGCAGTCAAGGAATTTGCAAAGAGTAAACGGCCGCGAACATACCATGGTGATTCAATGGATATACGATGTGTTTGCAGATGTGCGAGATGATAAGAATCAGGGGATGCAGAGGAATTGCGCGATCGCGCTAAGTGGCTGCTCTTAAAAAAAAAAAGAACAATCGCCGAAGCGGGGCGATTAGACGGGGTCCGCAAAAAAAAAGCCTGGAACGTTGAGCTTTCTTTGACCTCGGATCTTCCACAGTTGCTTGTCTCCGCAGATTCTTTGATATTTCCCTTCCTTTTTCCCCCGAAATCCAACTGCCGAGACCCTCTTGGTGGAACTGCCATTCGCCTCAAAATTTAGACTCCACATTTCCGGGGTGAACCATCAAGCTCAACTCCAGGTCTTTCATTGTCAACAATTGTCACGGGTCCCCATTCATAATTTAATTCCACCTCGGATCCAGAAAAATGGTGATGTCGGCGGCTTAAGATGTCAAAGTGTTGGAAACTTAGACTAAGAACGAGCATCTCCGTCTTCAACGCTTTCTCCGAGGGGCTGAACCTTTTTCTCACTCCAAGGGGAGACAAGAAAAAACCGAGGCCTTGAGCTAAACATTCTATGCACTTGATGCTTCTCAATCAAGCTGTTGATAATATGATTGACTTCCACTCGGAGCATCGATCGTACTCGAGAGATTGATGGTCTCTTGTACTGGAAACTATGGGTGTTGCGTCCTGGTCGATAATGGCCAGATTCCAGTTCCCGAGTACCTTTGACCCCGCCGTCCGAATACCTAAAAGTCCCGAACGGCTCTTGGATGTGGACCTCATCGGGAGTAATACGAACGACGAGACCTAAAAAGAGGGTCAGATTCAATAACTCTCTCATAGATACCAGATGGCATACCAAACTTTCGGTGCATATTTTCAATCTCATACTCGAAAATGCCCGGACCCCAGGCGGAAAAGTAAATCTCATACAAACCTGTTGCAGCAGCAAGGCGAGGCCCTGGGAACCTACTGAGTTTGTGGAAATGAAGACGATAAATAACCATGACTAGGGTATAGGCCACAGCACTGCCCAACAAGAAGCAGGCGAACATGATCACTGTTGGTTATCGTTATAGTAAAAAAAAATAGAATACACTCCCCACTTTCCATCCTGGAAATAAAGTCTAACTCCAGGGTTGTTCTCTTGATATAACTTTGGAGGGCAATGAAATCTCTACGGCCTAAATATGAAGTCCAATCCCCACTGCTTTGCCCCAGCCCCATGGCGAGAGCCAATTGGCCAAGTCCATACCGCATGCCATACCGCATGTTATACCGCATGTTATACCGCATGTTATACCGCATAAACTTTTCCTGGTAGATCAAACACCTCACGGGCTAACAGTTAACATTTGCCCTAAAATTCCGGAACTGAGCGACCCGATTCTCACAATCGAAAAAAATGTTCCACGATGCTCCTGCACTCGAGAGCCATAGTCCGGTTTGATGTCACCAGTATTAGTTTGATGGGGTAGGTCTCACACCATACCGCCCTTCTCGCCGAACTCTAACATGTACGGAGTGCGATGTACACCGATATTGGGATCTAGTGCCGATCATAGTGTGGCTGTAGGTTCGGGCTTATTGCTGATTTGATGATGTCGGGGGTGGGGATTGATCGTAGATCCAGACCGCCAGTTGGCTTTGTGCGCCCTTGCCAATGGGTGATCTGTCGATTTCTCGAATTCTCTTTCTCGAAGTATATATGTGGCGGGAAGTGGCGACGGGCGGAGATTGTGCATCGATTCCGGTTGGGCCCCTCAGCTCTGGTCGTCCTTGATTTGGGGGGTGTCTTTCAGTGTCAAGGTTTAAAGTGCCCGAGATGTCCTCATGCGAGGTCCATGCTTATGCACTGCCCTGAGAAAACACAAAATCAAGATCAAGATCACCGGTGGCAATTAATCGGTGTCATAAAGTTTGCAAGTTGGATATGTTCACAGATGTGAACTGAGGGGCCCTTGGGCATGGCGGGAGTTACAAGTGTAGGTTTGAGAATGGGGAAGCAGAACTAATGGAAATATGAAGGCAGGAGCACTTGTACTTTGTAACCTTACTAAGTCAAGTTTGTTTATATGCAGAGCAGCCCTGATGTCATCCACGCCCACCCTCCCGAGGTACAAGCCTAGGATACCAAGAAGTAGCAATAAAAAACAAGTCTAATGGGAGAATGCTAGACCCCAAAGCCATATTACTGCACGTTTTCAACAAGGTAACAACGGCTTTTCTAAATGCCCTCTGTATCTCTGAACGGCAGCTAGGGACTTCTATGGCGCCGACTTGCATAACGCCCATTCCAGCAGATGCAGGGTCCACTTCAGCTGCTTCTACATACCTGTCCGTGATTGATATCGCTGCGGCGATTCAAGAGAATGATACATTTATTGAATACACCACAAACTGTATGTCTAGACTGCAAGACAAAAGGGAGGAAGGGAAAGAAGAGAAACTGAAGGGAGAGGGGGGTTTGTATTCGCAGGTGGAGACAACGTGCCTTCCCAATCCATGGATAGCCTCATGCCTGCCTGAGGCCATCATGATCCAGTCCGATGTTTGATGCTGGTGTGCTCCTGCCAGTGTACAATCCACAGGCTTCAAGGATGATTCAATACAAGTTGATGTGAGAGAGGTCTTTGCTCACAAGTTTTATCCTAAATCAACTCACGCTAAGATCGTATACATGACTACAGACTACAAACGAAGTACTAGGTAGATATATGGATTAGAAGGCCGCACTAAACAGGAAGTCAGGGCTTAGGGCTCTCGGATGGACACCCTTCCGGGTATTAAACTCACATGAAATTGCGGGCCCTGCATAAATTCAATGTTTCAACCCGTTACCCGGATGTGTATGAAGTATTGCATGTAAATTTATAGGCCAACCCTTCCCAAAGAAGCTTAAATCCCGAATCGCACTTGAGTCTCATTCAATATATCACAGTGGTGGAATTTTCTTGATTGATCTCGATCCCCTACAGTTCCAAAACAAACATACACATAGCCCGCATATCACTCCTGTCCAGACCCATATGGAAACCTGTATCCCATTGTATTAATATTACCACTCGGCAAGGCCAACCGCTGAGAGTGGTCCGATGGCTTCAGGGTCGGATGTACCCCAGAAAACGTGGCCCCTGAGCCGACACTATCAAGCCCAAAGCGGAGACCACCATGACCAAGGTGAACGGAAAGCGGGTACAAGGCCTTCCGTTGCCAGAATGGAGAATATTTAAACAAGATCCAATTTCGGTTTCAACTGACGCTGCCGAAACTCCCGCACAACATTACTCCTATCAATATCATACTCATCACTCACAATGCCTGAACAAATCCTTGCGGGAAAGACATGCCTTGTCACTGGCGGTGCCGGCGGCCTAGGCAAAGCAATTGCAACCCATTTCCTCGAAGCCGGCGCCAACGTCGTAATCTGTGATGTGAACGAGGAACGTCTGCAGGAGGCCTTGGCTGAACTTTCATCCAAGGGGTCCATGAAGGCCATTAAAACCGATATCACCAAGACCAACGAAGTGGAGAGCCTATTTGAAACGCTAATTGGCGAATTCGGCAAAATTGATGTCCTCGTCAACAATGCCGGTATCATGGACCACTTCGACCCAATCGGCGATCTGGACATGGAGCTTTGGGAGCGCGTCATAGCGATTAATCTCACTGCCCCTGCTCTGCTGAGTAAATTGGCTGTTCGCAACATGCTGGCGCAGCCGAAGCCTGATGGGCGCATCATTAATATTGTTTCTGCTGCCGGAAAGGCTGGATGGGCTAGCGGTATGTTCTATCAAAAGCGAAAACTTTCTACTAGATCTGGGATTGACTAACTTTTTTAGGTGCTGCCTATACGTCCAGCAAGCATGGTCTGGTCGGATTGACCAAGAACACGGCCGCTTACTATGGCAACAAGGGCATCAAGTGCAATGCCTTGATGATGGGTGGCATGGACACCAACATTGTTGATGCGTTTAAGAGTGGAATGCATATGGAGGGTTATGAGAAGCTGGTAGGTATCCTCAAGGCGATTCAAGCTCCTCACGTCGACGTGAATGAGGTTGCTGGCTTCTGTGTGAACATGACATATGGAAAGGGCGCCGGTCAGATCAATGGCGCGACTATCGCCATCGATAATGGCTGGACTTCCGTCGTTGGATAGGATACATGATTTTGGGTAGCTGGTTACCCACGGTTCAACGGGAGTATAATCATGGGCATGTTTTTCTCCTACAAAGTGTTTATATTTTACGACATACATATTTTTCTTGTAACTGCTTGGAAATAAGCAACTGGATCAATTTGGATGCACTCTCTCTCTCTCAAAATACCAAAGACTTAGTTTACTAAGGGATTTGGCTGAGGCGGTGCCTGATCCCACTTCTCCACGCCTTCAGGGATATCAATAATCGCCTCCTGACACCAGATATGAACTGCAGTTCGCAGCATCTCTTTGCTCAGATCCTCCAAGCAACCACCTTTCACGCTGGTAATTGCAGAAAACTCGGGCTGTTCGCCAGGTGCAGGCACTGCATCCCGGAAGCGATGGAGAAGTCGCGCGCCACAGTCCTTGCAGAAAAGGCACTCCATATCACGGCCCTTGAGGGTAAATCGAGTGTAGCTGCTGACCATACCGGAGACTGACTCAGGGAGCTCGAAGTAGGGAAAGGTTGCGGTGATGCCGAAGGCAGACGAGCTTTGGTGCTGGCATTCTGTACAGTGACAAATCCAGAGTTTCAGAGGTTTATCTGTCGGTGTAGTGAATTGAATCTTGCCACATTGGCAGCGAGCTTTCATCCCCATGGTGGATTGCGAAATGATGCAGTTGTTCCAAGGTGAGGGGTAGATCCGAATTCTAGAGCTCGGGAAATATCTGCGGGTGGACTTAAAAGGCCAGTATCAGCTCGGGGAGGTATAAATAAGTAGAGACTGATGGTTTCTTTATAGAAAGAACCGGGATGGCTCCTAAAATAATCAGAAAGGTCTATTCTACCCGTTTCCACATTTATGTAACTTTGGATTGTTTGAATAATCATTTCCTTTGATTCTCATTGTGCATAACCCCAGATGTCATCGCTAAAGGGATTCTTTTGAGTAATAACTACAACATTATGCTTGTGTAGAAAATAATCTCGATCCCAGGTGATCAAACTTGGGTGGCATGATACTTGAAAGCCATTGTCACCACCCTCCCACTCATTCAGACATCAGAATAATTCTCGTTGGTGGGGATTTTCATCAAAGGTTACCCTCGATGGCCATCTGAATAACAGCAATGGCCCCGGGAGCCTCGTGCCATGCTTCATAGGTCAAGTTCAAGGTCAACTGCATCTGTTCCACACTCCCAATCGAAAACATCACGGGCTTGGCCTCCAGGTGCTCACCTGGGTTCACAAGGGCGGGCCAAAAGTGGGGGTTCAATTTGTGGACGGCCTCGTACAATGTGCAAATCTGGGCCTTTAGTTTCACGATTTCGAGCCGTCCATCGCCACAGTTAGCGATATTGGGGTTTTTGGCGACAGTCGAAGGTTTGAGTCCAAGTCCCAGCATACGGGCAGTACTTCCATCAGGAGATCCCATGTTTTTGAAGAGCACTTGGAGCACTTTGATCTTGACCAGGGTCCCGTAACCATATGAGATAGATCAATCATCCTATCACAGCACATATCGACTGACTCGAGGGGATTGGCGTTCTTGATGTCAAGGTAGGGCAGAGTACTGTTGCCCCAATCGTAGTTGTCATCCCGGCCGGTCGTAGCCCACCACTTCAGAAAATCGTAGCACTCCTGGTCCTGTTGGAGACGAATCATCAGGCCAGGGATGACGTCTCGCGAGCCCATGTTGTCACCTCGACAGAGCCGCAAGTCTTCCATCAGGATGCCGAGCTGTGCCTGGAGTGATTCGACATTCCTAGCAAGGCTCATAGTCCTAGGTAGGGCAGCGCGAACTCCCATGTAAGGGCGTGTCTCAAGGATCTTCCAGAAGTTTCCGACACCGTGGGTGAATATATCACCTGGATGAGCCCGTAAGGCGTGTTCTTCCTTCTCCATAGCAACACGACATCTTCTGATGGCGCTGCAAGCAGACTTATGCTCTTGGCGGTCAGCAGTCTGATGTTCGACACCGCAGTACATCATCACTCTGCAGCCAGAGCAGCGAAGTACTCCATCTTTCTTGCCGCACACACCACAGCCGGATGGGAGTGACATTTCTTGGCGAGACGTAGAAAGAAGAGTGTGGCAGTGTTGTTAATGTTCTGATGGAGAATGTGGAGAATATGTTCGCAGCGGAGGGGAAAGATGATTAGTGTGGAGAAACAGGAAGACGGTTGGCTTGCTATGCAGAAACGGGTAAAGGTTTTGAAAGTTATGTGAGTGCAGACCGGCTTGCTTATGAGGTAAAAGAGAGAGGGAGCAGAGAAAAGGATATGGAGAGAGATAAAGAGAGGAGGTACCGTTAGGTTATCTATTATGGTGTTTATTTAGTTACCAACTGGGCAGAATAGGAATTTATGATGCCTCGTTTGCCTTCAATGCCAGACCACAAAAGCCACGATAGTATTCCCTTCTCAATCGTTCAAACCATATCTGCTGAGGCAGACTGAGATATGAGGCATCGTTTTTATTCTTTTTCCCCCGTAATATGTACATATGTAAACATCTTAGCAGGTAGCAAGCATGAAAGTTCTGTATAGAGAGTCCGTCCCGAGACATGACTTTCTTACATCACAGTTTGGGGGGATTCATACTTATACAGAAATTTCCCTTGATTCTTTATCCCCGTAGAGTTGATCCTCGACTTCAGAAAAACATAGAAGAGTGGAATTACATACATCATTAGCTATTGCAAGGCGATGATAGGTCTATCCCCGGACCACGTGAGAAGCATGTGATCCCCAGTATCTGATTTCCCTCGGAACAACTATTCATCCTCTTGGGCCCCACTTCTACCTTTCGCTCGCCTTCGCAAAAAGTACTGGATCAGACAACTCCTTGCTCTTTCCTTTCTGCTACTCAATCAATCGATCTATATGAATTACCGAATGCCATCATGAAGTTTTTCGAAAATAATTTCACCTACGATTACTCATTTCCCGCCGTCTCCCTCGCCTATTTCCTCCGCTACCCCAACCCTTATTCTCGCCATGTCCTGACAACCGATGTCATCGACAGATACGTTGACCCCGAGACTGAGCGTCTTCACACCATCCGGTTACACCTCAAAAAGTCTAAGGTCCCATCTGGAATCCTAAAGCTCCTACCAAAAGGCATGGGAGGCTCGGACAGTTCCGGTCAGAGCTACATCCTTGAGAAGACCATTGTTGATGTCAAGGAGGGGTGGATGGAGACTGAGTCCCGCAACATGGAGTGGACGGGCATCCTGAGCGTTGTTGAGAAGCAATGCTATAAGCGGCTTCCCTCCGAGGAAAACCGCCTAGCTCTCGATGGTCTGGCCGTCGACAAAAATTCCGAACAGACGAGTGTCAAGACTACGGTTACCTTCCGCTCCCGAATCGGACAGGGCAAGCTGCTTGGGAAGAAAAAGCACGACACTGGTGACCATGAAGACGAAGAGCCTCGCAAAGGATTCTTCTCGTCCCTTTCCACTGCCGGCATTCAGCGGACCATTGAGCTCATTGGTGTGAGTCGAACTAAGGAGGCCGTATTGAAGAGCAAGCAGGGCATGAACATTGTCCTCGAGCGCCTGCGCAGTGGCGGTGTTGTCGGTGTCCTAGAAGGCATGCGCCAAGACCGAGAAGCAGCTTTCGGACCTGACGGCCCGTGGAAGCGTGTCTGGCTGCAGGGCAAGGACCGTTCTATTGAAAACGACAAGTCGTGATTGACATCCATTTTTGTTTTGGATTGTCTTGTTTTTGTTTGGGTTATTTACCCATCATTGCATTCTGATTTCAAGCGTGGAGTTCTGGCGTGGGGATATGATTGAAACTCTCCCACAAATCTTTTCTGATTGTTGATATTCGAAATTGTATAGGTCTATCTGTTTGCTTGAGGCAAAGCCTCTGGGATGTACATGTATATTAAGGAGCACGTTTAACGCTCATTTGAAGGTTCATTGTACAATATGCATCAATTTTCTATCCTTGTCTTCTGGGCAGCTCTGGGTGGGGGTTTCCATCACTACTGTCTGGTCTATATTCTATGGAGCTGAACGAAACTGTATCCTCTTAAACCAAGGTGCTTCAGGTGCAGACGACTAGTGATTGGGTATATCATCAAGTCTCATAATCATTTCCGAGGCGTCGACAATATCTTCTTTCGCTGGGCGCATTGTGTGATAGCCCATCCAACAACATCATCTTGACTCACTTTGGTACCTGATACCAATCAGAAGCAAAAACGAGCGTTGAAGTATATCTATGTTTCCCGACAACTAGCTTTCCCACTCGTAACAGCGGACCGTTATTAAGGTTTCACAAGCATGGAGCTGGCCCACAAGTTGGAGACTACCAACACCACCACAAACAATGGCCTCACCTTCAGCGACTTGGTTTTCCTCGTCCCTCTGCCTACTGCTAACGATGACCTTGAGACCACCGCCAACAAGCTGCAGACCATTGCAAATGTCGTCACCAACGGCGGCTAGCTGGAGATGAATGTATGGCCTGCCCAAATCCCCCGTAAGCACGACCCAGAGACCGTGGTGAATGGCTGCTCAAGCAGTTCCAAGCATGGAAATCCGAGCCATTGTTCCCCATATTTGACTGGACTTGTTACCTTTTCCCCCGCGACAGCCGATTCACGTACGAACGGTGCACCAATGCCACGAATATCATTTGAAACCACTAAGGCGCCACCGGCAACGCCGGCAATTCCGCATTGACATGAAACATGCCACATCTCTTGTCTGTTGTAAGGGCCATCGACACAATACTCGGCTTCGCCTGCAAATGAATGACCTATACCCTGTGGCTGATCCGATAATAGCCTAACACGCGAGAGGGGGCACATTCCGCAGACCTGCTCCCTCTATCATTGAATCGCAGGCTGTGGTGCGAAAACGTGTAAATAACATTTCGCAATCGTAACATGATCATGAACCGCCAATATTAGCTCACGATTGCTTTTCGGTTCTCATCTTTGAGTTCGACTTAATATTGTTGGGAGCCCTAGGAAGTTTCGTTCTTATTTTACATAATTACCCCAAAATATGAAATCATGTTGCCTTTGTTTTTGGGTATTCTGCGGTAACTTTTTGGTATATTCTTTGCATTTAAGATGCCCAAGAAGACTATATAGGTCGGGTTCAGGCCGGGGGGGATGCCCAGCCCTGGAGGTGTATTCGAGGACTACATGTGCATACCAAAATTTTAGGTAGGTAGCCCGACATTCCAGTCCATTAATTTTGTTTTCCTCAGGATTTCATCCAAGGGAGTCTACTCCGTAGGTAACTGTGAAATAATACCGGATGGAATAAGTGGATTTGTCTTGCGATACACATAATTGCACGCTAACGGGCAGCCGAATCAGCCAAGACTCCTTGGCTGAAAACACGCGAACCCGACCGACCACCAATAAGAGTGTGTGTCTTAGACCCTACAAACCAGATGACGCAGTTAGATTCTCCGAGTATTTCTGGTCGGTTTTTCTTACGTCAGAGGAGCTATTACATCTCAGGCCTATCGGACAGGCAAGGATAGCAAGTGTTGCACGCTATTATTAGCTATTATTGGTTGTTATTATTGGCTATTAAGAATGTACCCAAGGAATGATGAGGTCATGCAAATCTTTGATCTGAGGAAGATCTGACCTTAATTAAAAGAGAAAGGATATACATCATACCAATAGGCAGTACGGAGTACATACTAAATTCAGCATATAAGTGGTTGGACCCTGCTTGACCCTTTTGACTGATCGTCGTCAGTAATTTCCTTTTTTGGTTTAGCAAATTGGGGCATTTTGGTTTAGCGGAAAATAATATTCCAATCAAGGGGGTACCTGAAAGGGACTTGCCTCTTTTATTACTCCACTACCATGCATCAAGTACCTCTCAGGTACCCAGCAGGTACCCGAGTTTCCCAGGAATGTTCGAACGCAATTTAAATACAATACTTTCCTTTATTTGTATATTGTACTTTGTATTTGTATTGTATTTCTCTTGGCATTTTTCCTTTTTCCAAGGTTCAGAAGCTTTCCTTACACACTTCTGTTGACACTAAACCTCATTCCCTTAAGACCCTAAGTATTGCGGGGACCTGTTTCCCTGGCTTTCGCTTTGACAGCCTTTTTTTATCAGTTAATCTCCCTTTTTTTCTTGTTACCTCCTTTCCCCGTAATGAACTTGCAATACATCTGCTTTCGATTACCCTGACTCTTGAGGGCCTCCGTGGTCACTCTCGCTGGACATAACCTCCCCTGGATATGGCTTTCAAAATGAACGGGTTTCTAACCCTGTTGATATTGCTCCAAACTGTATCGGCTCAGTTCTGCTCGTTCTGGAATAACGGATGCATCGACTCGCTCGCTCAGACTGCAATTCGCTTCGACCTCAACCCTCTCTTCCCGGACCCTGTCACGCTCTACTACGGCTTCGATGCCAGTTCCTCCGGCAAAGGCGAAGGCCCCATGACCAAGACGGCGTTTTGGTTGGGATATCAAAATAAGAATATCAATATAAATGCTGTCGACTCGAATCGCACCTCTGAAATCGGTCTCAGGATTGGCAATTTGACTGGTACCCCTTCCGGGGCGAACAATGGATGCGATGGGATTTGGGGGGATGATTGTTCCCGTGATCTTAAGAGTGCCCTACAGAATGGCATATATCGTCTTGCTGTGTCGGGCGAGTACTATTCCAAGCCTCTCGAGGTAGTTCTCAACAAGATGTTGATGAAGCCGCCGTCGCTGCCTGGGTGCCCGCCGCCCACTCTTGACGTCGCGTCTATTCCAGTCCAAGGTATGTCGATTATTTTTCTTTCCTAGCTTAATGTTCTGACCTTTCTAGACTTCGCCAGGGAACGTGTCCCCGATCAGAACGTCACCATCATGCCACCTGGCTCGGGCGCTTGGCCTTGGCAGGTCTGGTATCTTGATAACATGAACGCCCACAACCAAGCTTCCCAAGTGGCAGTGGCCATCATCAGTCGCGCCCCTTCCTACAATAGCATACCACCGGACGGCCCAGATGATATCATGGTTGAACTTGTCTGTGTGCAGGCCCCTTCTACTGGATCTTCCAAGAGCTCTCACGACTAAACTGGGCCGTAGAGGTCGGTCTTCAGATCGTCCTTGGGTTCTTTTTTTCTTAACTATCTGGGTGGTGGGTGCGATACATTACGCCCTGTGGCCTCTGGCGCTTCTTGGTACTTGCAGTTTTCGTCTACGTGCCAAGCCATGGTGACACCCCATCGCGGGAACATGCCGAGTCTGAGCAAGATCCCAGGGTACCCATTTTCTTTGGTACAGGTGCATTCCACTGGGTTAAAACGGCAAAATATATCAGCACGCCAATCTTCGTCTCTGTGCCCGCAACCCCATCCTCGTCACTTTCAATACTTGGCAAGTTTCAGATGAAACTTGTACAAAGTTGATTGCTTCCATGCCCACGAAGAAATGTGGACGTCCAATATATATGTTGTGCAGCGACATGGCAATACATTTGATACTTGTCGCTCGCTTCTTGGAATCCACCAAATAACTTCTCACCACCGCCGAATCGAGTATGTCGCCTCCGACATTCAAAAAGTCGGCAAGCTGAATAGGGTTCGAATTCCCCAGCCTCCGGAATTCCAAGGCACCAGCCTGCTCACTTCACAGCACGCGGCCCGTTTGACCCCCAAGTTTCGCAATCCCACGGCATCTCTCCGGGTCTCACTCAGATCCCGCTTATCACTCACCTTGTGCATTCTCTGCCTTCTCCCGATGCTCCTTGGGAAGGCTAAGCAGGGTATTGTTCCTGTGCAGGATGCCCAACACGAGCGTGAGCAGATCGCCCCCGTCTCTTCGAGCCAGTCACACTATTACCGCCCTCCCGCCCGGACACACCAGGAATGCGCCGTCTAAAAGTTGACATGTTTCCCCATCACCCGCTGTGAATGGGGTAGTCAATACGGTTTTGGTGTGTGCGTCTTCTGTCGTGTGGTCCTGTACCACATGGCCATGCAGAACAGCGTTGAAAGTTAAGCCTTCTCAGGAAACTAAATGTGCATTTTGACTAGGCTTGTGTAATTCGGAAATGTGATACCATTGTTTTTTAAGTATCAAAATCAGAGGTCTCTAAGAGACTATTTCAATGAAGATATGCTAGATACTAAGCCACTCGAGCTCAAAATAACATGATTGTTCTAAGCTGGGTTGTCAACATCACTTTCTACTCAGATATACCTTCTGTGCCATGTGCATCGTACCTGCATCAAGTCTTTAAAGCTTCATTGTTTTTGCTCCTTTCCTTTCTCCATCTTCTCTCCGTTCTCTTCAGTTTTATCTCAATCGCCTGCACCAATGGGGCACTCGGGTTTATTCAAGATGCAAGCCCTCCTGGTCCTCCTGGGGACTACAAATCTAATCTTGAATCTTGCCTTTGCTGCCTCGCTCCCAAGAGACTCGTCCTATGTGGCTGCTGCTGGGTTTCCGACCTCTGCATTCTCGTATGATTACTGTTGACATTCCGGTGACTCGAGTAGAAAGGTCTGCTAATGTCAATGGCAGATCCTACTACTTTTCCCCAGCCCAGCCAACCAAACAACCCCAGCCAATCCTTTATGACCCCGTGTTGGACCTCACCTTCCCTTACGAGTTGACGGATCCCGACAATATCCCGGACAATCAGGATGAGGTCTACTTCCCTGTGCCGCGAACTCATATGCCTGCCAAAAAGAGGTATAAGCTGGTTCAGGAAGCAGTATCCAATGTGACCAACATCATCAAGTCAAATTGCTCCGAAGATGATTGCACCAAATGCAAGAACGCCCTAGCCGCAGCGAAGCCTGCAGCATTGCATGCCCCAGCTTGGGTTCCCAATGCCATGGTCAACCTGTGCAAGGCCTTTCGCTTCCACGCCAATGAGACATGCGAGCAAGAATTTGCTACGAACACCTTCGGTGCTATCTGGACTCAAGTGCTGGCATACGCTGATGTAGAAGGGTTGGATGGTCAATACATCTGCCATTCTCTCGGCAGCAAGTATTGCAGCGCGCCAAAGACCAACCCGCTCGACACGACCAATATTTTCCCCAAGCCCAAACCTGCAGATGTCCGAGTCCCCGAAGCAAGTGGGGAGCGAGTCAAGGTACTACATCTGTCAGACTTTCATCTCGATGCCCGGTATGCTGTCAGTTCCGAAGCAAACTGCACGTCTAGCCTCTGCTGTCGGAGTGACAACTCCAACGACATTTCCGAAGACAAGCCACTGCTTTCCGCCTCCGCGTATGGGTCTTTCCTATGCGATACCCCATATGACTTGGGTCTCGCTGCTTTACAAGCTGTTGGCCCTTTGACTGGAACTGGTAAAGGGGAAAACGACGAGCACTTTGCATGGACGCTCTATACGGGCGATCTGGTATCGCATGATCCGGCATCCCAGATATCCAAAGCGTTGACTCAGTATACAGAGACCAGCATTTATGGCATGTTTAAACACTATCTCTCTGGCCCTGTCTTTGCGGCACTTGGGAATCATGACACCAGTCCTGCAAACATCGATTCTCCTCATAATCTCCCTGGACGTCTGGGGGAACAGCAAAGCTGGAATTATGAGCACCTGGCTGGACTGTGGCGCCATGAAGGATGGATTAGTCGTAAGACCGCCGATGAAGCGAGAACACATTATGGTGGTTACTCTGTTGAGACACGCTACGGACTGCGCATCATTGCTTTCAACACCGGTATGTTATCATCACTTCATTTGGGGGTTGTCCACTCACTCTTTTAGACTTGTGGTACCGACACAACATCTTGACCTTCATCAACACCACTGACCCCGATAATTCTGGGATATTCTCCTGGATGATCGAGGAATTGCAAAAGGCGGAGGATGCCGGTGAGCGTGTCTGGATAATCGGCCACGTCCTCAGTGGCTGGGACGGGACAAATGCACTCCCAAACCCGACCGATCTATTTTACCAGATCGTGGACCGCTACTCGCCCCATGTCATTGCCAACATCTTCTTCGGGCATACCCACGAGGATGAATTCATGATTTACTATGCCAACAACGGGACTGTGCAGGATGCAGACAACGCCCTCACCACCGGCTGGATCATGCCCAGCATAACCCCTCTGACAAACCTGAACAGTGGCTTCCGTCTGTACGAAGTCGACACGGGCGACTTCAACATCTACGAAGCATACACCTTCTACAGCAATGTATCAAACTACCCAACTCTTGAGTACACGGGTCCGACATTTGAGATTGAATATTCCACCCGCGATGCATATGGCCTTGCAGCTGGGTGGGACGACGATGCGCCGTTGAACGCGACCTTTTGGCACCGGGTTACCGAAAGCATGGAGAAGGACGTGGAGCTTGTTGGTCTGCATAATACTTACCAGGGGAAGCGGAGTGTCAAGAGTCCCAATTGTACTACAGCCGCGTGCCAGAAAGCCAAGATCTGCTACATGCGCAGTGGTAGTGTTGCATTGGGTAGCCAGTGTCCTCAAGGGTGAGTCATGTATGAGTGGATCTGGAATATATAAATGCTGACCTCTCTAGATATGGATCCGTGCAAAGCGCCTTCAAGGAAAACTAGTAATCGAAACGGTGATCGAGCATGGTTACACTCCAATTGAAAGCCATTTTTATTTATGCTAGCAGATAATATGCGTAGGATTCATTCAAATGGGAAGCCCCTTGAAGGACGTATCTAGTGTTGGAATATAAAGCAAAAATGGCAATCCCCATCAACCATAACTTAGCATGTAGTGCTAATAACGCCAAAGTCGAGGGTTACCCCTTGGATCCAAATTTTTTTGGGTCATTTAATTTTAATATTGTATATATAAAGCTTCTTTTTTTATATATACGGATTGGATTTAAATCATTTTTATCAAGTCACTAAATATTGGTATAAAGCTGCGTTAAATGCAATGGGAAACCCAGAAATGATACTAAACATGCAATGGATGTATCTAATTCACTGGAATGTTGAAAGTGGGGGGAGTCAAGAAGAAAAAACTCAGTCAATAACTCATCATTAACCAAAGTGCAACCTTCATGATTTCATCTTCAACATACTAGAGCTGTTACATCCACTTGAGTCCAATAAGGCCGCTCATTCCCGGATGCATGACGTAGAGCCGACTTTTAGCTTTGGGGGATTTTGCTTCTGTCATCACCAAAGCTCCGGAGCATCCGATTTATAACCTCGTCGCTTTCCCATAGCTCTTGTACACTGTTGAATTCTATAAGTTGTTCTTTACCGCATCGCATTCTATACCCCTACAGCCTCGCCATCTACCCAAAATCTAATCTAAAATCTACAAAAATGGGTCTTAGAGGTGTGCAGCTTGGTCTCAGAGCCTGGGAGGTATGTTCGCACTAGAGAGCTATGTGTCGCACGTTTAATAACCAAACTCGCAGTTCATATGGTCCCTGCTCATCATGGCCCTCATCGGTAATATGATCGCCGAGGCCTTCGCCGGGAACCCTGGGACCGTAAACTACGCGATCTACACATCGGTCTTCTCAATGTTCACGTTGTTCTACCTGGTCCCGGCCTCGTTCAACCTTGACTGGGCCCTCCACCCCATCATCATGATCGTCCTCGACGTGCTGAACTGCATTTTCTTCTTCTGCGCTGCCATCGCCCTCGCTGCGAAGCTCGAGTGTCACTCTTGCAGCAACACGGTAAGTTGAACTTGAATACAGGATCGCAGATCGCAGTGAATATGTAATAGAGTGGATTGACGCTGACCCCTCTACAGGATTACCTCAATAGGAATGAGATCACCAATGGCTCAAACAACAAGGAAAAGCGCTGCCGTGAGGCCCAGGCCTCTGTTGCTTTCCTCTGGTTCGGCTGGGCGTGCTACATGGCCTCCGTCATTGTCTCTCTGTTCATGTCCCGCTCCGCTACCCCCTCGCGCAGCCGCCGTGCTAACAGCAGCCGCCGGGCCCCCGCCATGGCCCAGGTTTAAATATGCCTTTGTCATGGAAGACGGGGGCACTTGGTGTAGGCTGAGCCTTGAGCTTGGTTGTCGCTCTCGTCTGTGGCGATTATGTACTACCTGGTAATTTGGGATCCCATTGGATCATGGTTATGATTATGATTCTAGCTCTGGTTCTGATTAATGGCGTTGAGGGGATGATGTCGGTATACGGTTAAGATGTTTGTACGATCTACGATCTTAGAGCTTTAGAGCTCGGTCTTGGTTTTGATGCCTTCCATGGTCTCATGCCTGCAACGATTCGACAAAAACGATGCCTCTTTTTGTCTCTGCTCGATCATGAGAGAGATGCTCTGATGCTCTGATACTTTATGTGGTATTCATTAATATTATTTGTTTTGGTCAATCGCCTTCGGCTTTTGGCGTTGACTATTATTTTGACTTTTACGATTCCTAGAGTGTTGCTGCCACTACTGTATATCTCTTTAAGTTAATATTATTATTTAATTCTAAACATTTGCTTCACTTCACAATTTCCTGGAACTTAGACACTCTTACTATGTTTCTGGCTTGATGGGTCCAGTACAAAACAGTGTAAACTCTGTTCTTGATGTTGCCCCATACAACTTCGATGTTTATAGATCACCAGCGAGCCTGTCAGGACAAACCAGTATATCGCTTCAAGCAATTAACAATATTGTATCTAGCTGCATATTCCTTTCCCTTCTCCATTGTTCTTCTCATCCCATTACCTTTTCGGCTGTTTGAACCCACAGGGTACCCGACGATTCCAGATTACCTTAATCTGTACTGCCCTGGGGTCGCCGACGCCATTTCTAAACTAAAGCTGTAGGCATCTATTTTAAAAACTCCTTAATATCACTGTGGGCAAAAGAAGGATACCCTGCGAATTGAAATCTCAAATTCTTCACTATGTATATATCTTCAGAGCATTCTGTATATATATACTAAGCATACACGTCGGTAATCAACCAAAAAAAACAGTTCCGACCGTAGAATTATATTGTTTTTATCATGTTAAGGCTCTAAATACGTGCATGAGGCTCTGGTGCTAGTTTTAAGATTCCTGCATATATAGATGGTTCCACCTGGGCAGAGAGCTGTAGATGGTACAAAGTACCCCGTCATGGAGGTTGACTCATTCAAGGCCCCGTGCGCAAAACACAACCTGGGATAAAAGAACTTCAGAAAAAACACATATCTGGAATCAACTCCATATATTGAATCTCCACGTTTATATGTTAAGCTAGGGCTTAGCGGGGCAAAACTCCCCTCCGCTCCACCCAAAGAATTTCTCCAGAGCTTCCGCCCTGACACTTTTCTCCATCCCTTTATTTCACATCTCCATCAATATGCCTGTCCAGTAAGTCTGTGTTACGATCCCGTATTTGCAATTACTGACCCTCCGGTAGCTATTTGATTCTGCTCTCTCGACAGGGCAAAGTGGTATGCCTCATCCAACTACGTAACACCTGTCCGAAGCCCAACTGACAACATCTCTCTAGCGTCTCGCCAAGTGGTTCACCACCCTCTCTCCCAAGGAGAAAGCCAAGATCATCAAGGATGTAACTCAACTGGTGCTGTCCCGCCGGACGCGGATGTGCAATTTCCTGGAATACAAAGGTGGCTTTCTATCCCCGTATCCCCGCATGACCCCCTTTCGCCAGGAATTGGGACTAACAGAGATTGTACTAGATTCCAAAGTCGTCTACCGTCGCTACGCTTCTCTCTTCTTCATCGCTGGCTGTGCCTCGACCGATAATGAACTGATCACTCTCGAGATTGTGCATCGCTACGTCGAGCAGATGGACAAATACTACGGCAATGTCTGCGAGCTAGACATCATCTTCAACTTCCAGAAAGCATACTTTATTCTCGATGAGTTATTGATTGCGGGGGAAATGCAAGAGACCAGCAAGAAGAATGTTCTTCGCTGTATCAGCCAGCAGGACAGTTTGGAAGATATGGAGGTAAGTTTTACATTTCTTTTCCATTATATTGTTTGGGCACTTTCAAAGAGACAAAATCTCCAAAAGAGGTGTTACATGGCTATATTTGGAGTCCCTTTGATCCACCCCTTTTTTCCAAGCCATGGCCAAGATTCAGCCAGGCTAATTATATCCCCCAGGTTGAGGAAGATGTGGTCACCAAGATCATGTAAAGCAAGCGGGCTTGCTCTTTTTATCGGCGTACATAGGAGTCACCATACTAATCAATACAACTTTGTTCAGGAGACAGAAGATATCACACGCAATTTGGATCGAGTTGGGTTGTGACTAAAAGCTCTTCCATGGTTTGACTGCTCGTGAGGTCAGTGCGGGTTCTCACTGGACCACGCTTTCCACACGTGACTAATACCGGAAACTCCCCTCTCATTCCCCCCCCCCCCAAGGACCATCCCTCTTGCCTCATTTTCATCTTCTTTGTATATTTCTCTCTCATTTGACATTTGTGTTGCTATAAGAACTGCAATCTCCCTATAGTTCGTGTTGACGTTGACCCCCTTATCTCAGTCCTGTTCGCGGTCGACATCATCGCATCTCCACCTATCCGGGTCAATCACCCGATTAGACACCGCTTTATCTCGTTCATCTCCCTCCATCTCTCTCTCTTTTCTCTTTCTCTATAGAAGAGAGATTCGAGTCTATCTCTTTCGCATCGCAGACCGTGCCACGTCATCTCAGCGTGCTTATCGGCTTATCTCGGGAACTCCACTACCCCAGTTTAACCTCACGATGAAGGTAAAGTCGCAAACCCCCGACATGTCTTTTGATCGGTTTACTAACCCTCCCTATGATATAGTTTCTTCCCCTTCCAGATTTTGAGGACGTAACAAGTTCTCTCAATTTTGATACGACTGACTGTCACATCGTCGGCGGTTGTGATATTTACACGACCAAGGCAGCACGCTCCGATCGGAAACTCTACAATCATATTGAGCAGTCGCTTGAGGCTCAATATGAATCGGTTCTTCGATTTTCGGCATCCCTATCGCCCCCAAATGCACATGATGCTGCGGAGACCCTCAATCTATCGCGATCTAGCCCGTTCGGACCCCTGAGCGAGCATTCGAGCCGACGGACCTTTGCCTATTTGATCGCCACTCTGAATGCAAGTCATCCGGATTATGACTTCTCGCACGTTCTGCGTCCCACTGATTTCCGACGCGAGCGGAATCTGAAGCGCGTGATGAACACAGTTGATTCAACGCTGCTCAACCTGCGACCGCGCGAGAATACCAACTTGTCTCCTGCATCCCCTGCGACGCTTTCTGGATCATACACAGCAGGATCATCTTCTGCGTGGGGCCCGCGGGTATGGAAAACGATAGATGAACACATGTCGCTCAAGGAGTGTTCGATTTACTCATATTCGCCAGAGGAGGACCCGTCCGATGCCGACGATGGGGCTATCTGGAGTCTACATTTCTTTTTCTTCAATCCGATTCGCAAGCGCGTCTGTTACATCTTCTTGCGTGCGATTCCCATACTCAGCCACACCCCAGACGAGATGGCAACTACGCCTACTGGGAAGCGGAACTACGACGACGGATACCTCACGCCGGACCTCAGCTCCAGCAAGCGTGCTAAGTTCTGGTTCGGAGAACGCGCCAGATCGACTCTTGTCGCTAGCGATAGTGATGATGAGATGGATCGTCCTTCAAAGACAATTCGGACTACCGCGGACGACTATGACACTTATGTGATCAGTGACGACGACGATTTGCCAATCAGGCGCCGCGGAGTCCGGGCGATGAGTGAGGAAATTGCGGACTCGATGGAAGTCTAAGATATACCAAATGATTTGGCTTGTGTGCTTTTGGTTTTTTGTTCGTTTCTTGTCTGTATTCTTTTGGTCCCGTTGATCGGGTATGATCTTTCTAGCTGGTGTTGGATTATTGTTTTTTTTTTTTTTTGACAGGCGCAATCAACTTGCATGGTTTTTCGTTCACGAGGGGCGTTATTGAACGGAGAATAACATACCCCTCAAGTTATTGTGACTTACTGCCTAATATCACCCATGTCTATTTTTTGGATTTTTGTTGCCTCATGCAGATTTATTGGTTTATCAACCTTATGAAACTTTTTTCTTTCTGAAAACTCCTAGCATTTGTCTCAAATGCTCCATGTATCATCCATTTAAACCCGACAGTAAACCAGTCTTCCATATGTCATGTCCATTAGAAGGTTGACAGGGGTGTGCAGTGCCTCAACCTGGCGGGGTCCTTTATGTGACATCAGCGTGTATATCATTGATGTTACTTAGCTGGATCCAAACAAATCTATACGGTGGTTATAAGTGATTCTCTAGCGTATTTCTAGTTGATACTATATTGTACATCTCATGCGGGCATATAGATCAGACACGTGGTCCGTGCGTTGGGGAAAGCTGTCCATTCTCCCCCTTCCACCTCATCATCCTCCCCATTTGATTATATTCATACAATTCAAACGACTCATTATGGCCGACGACGAGGAGCGCATCAAAGCCGAGAAGCTGGCCGCAGCCAAGAAAAGGGTAATCCATCGCGAATGGCAGATGTCGTTGTTTTGGTCGCTAACTGGACTGTTATTCAGGTTGCCCAGCTCCAGAAGAAAAAGAAGGCCAAGAAGACTACCGCAACTGGAGCGGACACACCCAAGGAGGCAGAGACTCCAACAGAGACAGAGCCTGCTGAAGATGTCCCGAGCCCAGAAACCTTGCAGGCAGACGCCCCCGCGGAGAAGCAGCCAGACATGCAAGACGAGCCAGCCGCGCCATCCGAGGCCGCAGCCCCCGAACAACCAGAGGAATCAGAAGAACCAAATTTGCGAATTGACACTGATACGAATGTCGAATCTCCTACCGAACCGATGCCTCCAGCGCCCACATCTCCCGATCCAGATGCTGAGCCACTGCCGGTCCGGCTCGATACACCCCGCGCCGGCCACGGCCGACAACCCTCGCTGTCAATCCAGTCAAAGATGCGCTCATCTTCATTCCGCAAGACCTCCGTCTCACAGGGCAGCGTCTCCCCCTCTCCGTCTGCTACGATCAAGTCCCCCGCACAATCATTACCGCCCCTAACCGGGGACGGGGAGTCGGTCCACGAAGTGTTCCGCAAACAGTCTACCAAGATTGAGGAGCTCGAGAAAGATAATAAACGATTGGAGAAGGATCTTGCGGATGCAACTTTGCGCTGGCGCAAGACTGAGGAGCAAGTGGAGGATCTGCGGGAAGCGAGTGTTGATGGCGTAGAGTTGAAGGAGCAGTTGAAGAAGGCAGAGGAGAAGGCTGCAAGCATTGATTCGTTGGTATGACACGTTGTTTCCTGTGATCGCCATCTTTGCTAACCCGCGGAATAGAAAGAGGAAATTGCTTCCCTCCAGCGACAGAACTCACAGCTCCAGACCCGGTCACATCGAAACACAACTGCAACAGAGTCACCGCCAGCCGACCTTGTTCGTCAGCTCGAGTCCAAGTCAGCCACTATTGAGTCCATGGAGTTGGAGATCTCAAATCTCCGCGCCCAGGTCGCCTCCCAAACGTCCTCTAACGATGCACACGAGTCCCAGGTCGCAGCGCTAGAGGAGAAGGTCTCAAAGAACCAATCCGCACTAGAGCAATCCCAGCGTGAGCTGGCAGACACGAAGCAGGCATTGACACGTGCCTCCGAGAAAGCAGTCAAGGAAGGCGTCAACAAGACATCTACCGAAACGCTGATCAATAATCTCCAGCGTGAGATCGAGGAACACAAGAGCGAAAAAAGCGAATTGGAAAAGAAGATCGAGACTCTAGACAAGAAACTCCAGGCAATCGGCAATCTTCATAAAGAAACCGAAGCCCGGCACCAAACCCGGTTACGCGAGAGCGAGAAATCTGAGAAAGAGATCGCTGTCATGCGGAAAAAGATCGCCAGCATCGAAAACGAGAACCTCCGCCTCCGCGAAGAGAGTGATCGGATCCGGACTCGACAGGTCGGCGGAGGCGCCGACGACGACGCCCTGGACGAGCTCGAGGACGAAGAACGCCAGCGCCTTGAGCGCCGCATCCGCGAGCTGGAAGGCGAGGTCTTCGATCTGCGCCGCGGCGTCTGGCAAGAGAAGCGCCAGGAGATGGAATACTACCCGGATGATGGACCCAGCCCTGCCTCCGGCGACGCAGCCAATGCATTCGACGACGTCGATCTCGTCGGTGGACGACCCGACCATGCCCGTCGCCGCAGCATGGCCCAGAATCAGCACTCATCCTTCTCCACGGTTCTTTCTAGCGGCTTTGCTGCCTTCACAGGAGCTGCTGGCAACCGCGCCCGCGCTTCATCGACTAACCCGTCTCACCCCCCTGGTACCCGTGGTAGTCTCGAGCTTGTTTCCGAAGAAAACTTTGATGACGAGTTCGATGAAGATGCATTCGCGCGTGCGCAGGCTGAGGAGGAGGGCCGCAAGCGTGTTGAGTGGATGCGCGATATCAAGAGTAAGCTGCGTGACTGGAACGGCTGGCGTCTGGATCTGGTCGACAGCCGTGCCGGTGCAGAAGGTGCTGGCGTAGGCATGGGCGAAATATTTGAGGTCTAGTCTTTAGTGTTTACCTTACCATCATATGTGCGGGATGTACGATCATTTTTTACTATATACCACGAGGTGGAGTTGACCAATGAACTTTGATACAAAGAGCAGCCTGATGCAATTGACGTAGGATATTTGATGGAACACCGATATAAGACATAGAAAACATTCGAACTATAAAAACCAAAACCAAAATAATAATCCATCTCAATCACTCGGAAGATTTGCCAGTCAAATACCCCTCAGTCGACCTATTCTTCCTACGACCCCAGACGTCGCCAGCCCAACTAGTAATCTGATAAAGCCAGCCACCAGTAACAAGCACACCTGAGATGGTGTTAATAACCCGAATCAGCAGTGACAAAAAGCCCGCCCTCTCCTCGCTGACCAGCAACAGGATCGGCTCAATGTTATACTTGAAGAAGATGCCCGGCACAACCATCGGCGACTCAGGGATCGCGCTGGACTGGCTCGTTGCCGCGTACTGGTTCGTGAAGACCGTGTTACGTCCGTACCGCGAAGCCGCAGCCTCCGGCGAGCGCGTGTACGCGTCCAGCGCGCCCTTGCCGTGGCTGTACAGCGTCGGCACAATGGAGAGGAAGTACTGGAACTTGTAGTAGTGCTCCTCGCTCTCAGCGATAGTCTTGTCGAGCGGGTTCTGCAGGGTCGGGTAATGTGGCCCGAAGGAGAGCTCCGTGATTATGTGGGAGAAATTGAAGGCTGGCGAGCTGTTAGCGATGTTGTATGGAATGGATTGGGAGGACACATACACGAGTGATCCAGATGCGGGGAGTTCTCGCGATACCCGTGGCCGCGCGCGGTGATGTGGAAGTCACCCTGCACCTTGTTTCCCTCGAGGCTTCCGTAGATGCGACATGCGTCCGGGACGTCGCTGCGGCGCATGCGCGGGCCCTTGGGGAACTTGCGGCGTGGATTATGGCGCACCTCACCGAGGACGTGGCGGACGTGGGAGTCTGCCTCTTGCTCGGCGAGACGGTCGGTTTCTTCGTGGGAGAGGGTTTGGTATTCGCGGGCGCCGTCGCTGGTCTCGTGGTTGCGCTTCTGCATCCAGAGTTGCCAGTTTGTGTCGTCGCGTTTGAGGAGCTCGCCGGCTAAGATGCGGTCGCCGGCTGCATCTTGGATATTCACGCGGAGCTGGTCGCAGGGCATGTGCACGACCATGTCGAGGTTTAGCTGGAGCTCGTGCGAGACGCCTTTTTCAACGCTGAAGTGGTAGTTCTCGGTGCCGCGCCACCATGTTTTTAACTCGGACCAGCTGAAGATCGTGCATACGAGGAAGATTAGGACGGTCCATTGGCCGCCGCTGCGGGTTGGGGTTGTGTAGGAGGGTTTTGTTTTGGCTGGTCATGGAACGTGAGTAAGTTGTCTAGATCGAACTTGGAGATACTCACGAAAGGCGTCGAAGGTCTTCAGCGCAGTCAAACTAGACTTCTCCCCGAAGGCATCTTCGTTCAGACCCTTAGATTCGAAGCCATTCATTGTGAATCAATTACCCATCAAGGCCAATGGAAGTTGTTGTGGAGTAAATAAGATAAGATGAGGCCAAGTAGCCCGATTGCCCAGTGGGGACATGCCAGTTTGCATACAACCGTACAATGTCTGAACTACTTTCTTTATATTCTTTATATTCTTCAAGTTTTCTGATATTAATTATAATCACATAGTCATTAATTCAACATAAGCAAAAGCTAGACACGTTAAATCGCTCTACTGAGCAATACATCGTAAACTCTTAGGAAATGCAATGAGAGGTAACAATGTACAAAGGGACCACAGCCCTGGGGATCATCAAGTATAAAACGAAGGGAAATGCATAAGAGCTAAGCAAGAGCAAACATAAGGTATAAGCAATACTCAGGTCATCATGGGCGCAATGCAAATGCAAGAACAAGGGGGTATAACATGATTGCATCTCAAACAAAATGCGGACATGACAACCACCCGATGCAAGGATGAGAAAGTAAAAAAAGCAAAAGGGTTAGTATTACAGGGCATTCAACAAAAAAAAAACGTGTGAAATCATTTCCTCTATCGGCTAGTCAGCATCCCATTCTATGGTGGTTCAGGTCGCTGGCCTAACTCACCAGGCTTGTCGCAGCGGCCGCGGTAGCGAGGTCTGGCTTCCCGCTGAGACTCCGCGCCGAAACGCGAGGGAGTGCGGACCCGGTGGTTGCAGAATTACTGGACCCTCGCTTGCCGGGGCTCGACGGAGGACCATTGACA